ATTCATGTGAGTCCTAATGTCCTGTATTAGGACTTTAAAGAATGGAAGCAAGGAAAAAAATCAACGTAAAAATGCTAAATTAAACAGTGCTGCAAAGACAAACATACTGCATTTTCAATACAGGGGGTGGGTTTTCTTATAAATGTGGTTGTTGGTATTTATAAAAATTATTTTAATCACATATACTTTTCTACATATTGTTTTTTGGGTCTGTGGAAGGTTGCTACTGGTCAGCGGTGCAGGAATACAGCACAATCCTGTTGGATACTACGTTAGCAAAAATGTGGTTGTGGGGGTGTACTAACTCCTGGGTCATGCAGTCCAGTGCTACAACAACTCTTGCATAGCAACTTCTGAGGCACCACCCTACGGTCACCTTGAGTACCATGGAACCAATTATATTACATACTAGAAGATATACTAGGGATGGAAAACCTGTGGCTTTCCTGTTGTTGATGGACCGCAACTTCCAGTGGCTTCAGCCAGCATGGACAATGGCGAGGGATGAAGGGAGCTGCAGTCCAAACAACATCTAGAGGACCATAGGTTCCTCATCCCTATAGTATATGATGAATTTCAGGGTTTCACTGAGAAGCACGAGCCAAGTAATAAGCAGCATTAATTAATGCTTGTATTTCTACTATCTGTTGCATTAATACAATCATCTCACCAAAATGGGTAAACGAGCAATAAAATGGTAAATGTGATTCAATGAAAGTTAAGTGTAACGTGATGCACCTTTGGGGGGGGGGGGGAACGAGCCTAACTTCACATTGGGGTTTAAGCTGTATAGAATCAGGATGTTAGTGGTATAAATGTATTTAAGACAATAATTTATTTATTTTTGCAAACCAGGCTCTTAACAACACATAACAGACATAAAATGCAGGGCAGAGAAATGTATATAGCATACAAAGCAAACATTATTAAAAGCACAATCCTATACATCTCTACTCAGAAGCAAGCCCCACTTAGTTCAATGAGACTCCCAAGTAAATGGGCATGAGATTGCAGCCTAAATCTAATTTCTGCAACATCATAGATTATATTAATGCAAAACTCCTGTCAAACTAGGTTGCTCAATACTAAAAAAAAAAAAGTAGAAAAGGGTGTGTGTGAAATATATATATTTAAATAGTATGTGACTTGGATGCAATCTGGTGTTTCCAAAAGAAAGAATAAATTTCCTTGACAGTAGTAATTTTCAGAGGGGAATAGGATATCTTGGGAAGGCATGATTTATAAGTATCCAGCGAAGGTGCACCGATGAGAAAATGATCCACTCTCTCCCCTTCATTTGGTACTAGAATTTTAATAAGATACTCCCAGGGGACCCTTTTACCACATCACTGGGCATAGTGTGTGCTTCACACTAGAAATACCATCCCTGATTCTTCAGAGGTGAACAAAGAGATTTTGTTTTTGTTCCTCACGATGACAGGAAATCTATCTGATCCTTTCCAGATGGAAGCCACAATTATACCACTTCCACCTGACTTGCCTTCAATATAATAGTTCTGGGTGAAGATGAAGAAATAAGTCTTTATCTCTCTCTTTTCCTGGCCCCACAGTTGTGCTGTAGTAAACTATATCACTTAAGCATCCTAATAGCACCATTATTTTTGGAACACTAGGCATAGCAACCGGCTGTAGTAACATACAGCTCAGCAAGCCACACATCATTTTACAGTTCATTCACTGAGATGAATGTAGCTAATACGTAGCTAAATTATATTCACAGGGCCATACAGCTATGATTTAATTATGGGAGGACACAATTTAATGAAGGAGCATGTCAAATGTTATGCTTTTGGTTCCATTCCTTCCTGGAGGGGCAAACCCAGGTGGTGGTGTTGGGGGACTCCTTTTAGATGCCTCAGCTGTTCTGTCCCCCATGCTTATTTAACATTTACATGAAACCACTGGGAGAGCTTGTCCAGAGTTTCCGGCTTCGGTATCACTAGCATGCTGATGACACCCAGCTCTATTTCTCCTTTCCACCTAAATACAAGGAACCTGTCTTGGTTCTAAACCAGCACCTGTCATCTGGATGAGCGTGAACAAATTGGAACTTAGACAAGACAGAGATTTTCTTGGTCAGTCAGAAGGCATAACAGGGAATAAAAATTCAGTCTGAACTCGAGGAGGGGGGCGTAACACTCCCCATGAAGGCACAAATTTGCAGTTTGGGCATGCTATTAGATTCAGTCCTTCCTGAATATGGATACTCAGGTCTCAGGGGTGCCCAGGAGTTTGTTTATTATTTATTATATTTGTACGCCACACTTCATTCTTAGATCTCAGGGCAGTTCTTATACTGTATAAAAAAACCACAAAATACATAACACCACCACAAACCAATAAACCACCTCCCAATTGCACAGCTGAAGCTAGTACATCAGCTGGGCTTGTTCCTTGAGATGTCTGGTTTGGCCACAGCCTCATTTACATCCCATTTGGATTACTGTAGCACACTCCATGTGGGGCTGTCTTTGAAAAGTGATAAGGACCCTCCACTGGCTCAAAAAGCTGCAGCCAGATGGTTGACTGGGGCTGATTTTAGGGAGAATAACAGCTGTTACAACAGCTGCAGTAGCTACCAGTCTATTTGCGGGCAAAATTCAAAGTGCTGGTTATCACTGTACATTGAGAGGAAGTTAAATGAATGAGATTTTGATAGATTATGAGGGGGAAATCAATCAAAACACTGTAATGTAATGTTTCCAAAAGGAGATTCTAAGACACCCACAGAATTTTTAAAAACTTCATATCCATGAGAATTCACCCCAATTTTGGCCCCACCTATGTGGCTAAATAGAAGTGATATGAGATTAACAGTGCTGATCTGACAGCAGTAAGAAAGAATTCTTTCATTCTCACCCAGAAAAATGAGAATAGAAGCATTATCTGCTGGAATCCTACTTTAATTTTGATGGCTTCTCACAAGTTAAATGCAATCTCCTACAACACACTTTCTTCCCCCTTAAGGACTGCACATGCTGTTCTTCAATATATATAGCCTCATAACACAAATCAATCTATGAAAGTTCCACTTACTTGCACGCTGCTTTGGGAATAAAACCCACTGAATGGGGCTTACTTTTGAATATAGCAACTTCCCATATCAACCTGGCCAATGGTAATACCTATCCTGCACACTCTGTGACTAACCTCCAAAATGTTAGTGGTTTAGACCCAGATAAAAGGTGAGATCAATGGGACTTACACTGTTAGCCTACCCTATTGATTTCAATAGGATCCTAATTTAACTAAATTAACGATGAAGTGTTATCTGGAGTAAACTCCTGAGCATCACTTGAGATATACAGGAGGTCTCTATGCATCCTACATGTTTGATCCTTTGGAGCAGGTCACAAATAATAATAATAATAATAATAATAATAATAATAATAAATGTTACTATATGCCACCCATCTGACTGGGTTGCCCCAGCTACTCTGAGAGACTTACAACAAATTAAAACATCAAACACAGTAAAACACCAAACATTAAAAACTTTCCTATACAGGGCTGCCTTCAGATGTCTCCTAAGTCAGATATAGTGGTACCTCGGGTTAAGAACTTAATTCATTCTGGAGGTCTGTTCTTAACCTGAAACTGTTCTTAACCTGAAGCACCACTTTAGCTAATGGGGCCTCCTGCTGCCACCGAGCGATTTCTGTTCTCATCCTGAAGCAAAGTTCTTAACACGAGGTAATATTTCTGGGTTAGCGGAGTCTGTAACCTGAAGCGTATGTAACCTGAAGCGTATGTAACCCGAGGTAGGTACCACTGTAGTTGTTTATTTACATATGATGGGAGGGCATTCCACAGGACAGGCACCACTACTGAGAAGGTCCTCTGCCTGGTTGCCTGTAACCTCACAATGAGGAAACCATCAGAAGGCCCTTGGAGCTGGATCTATGTCCCAGCTGAACAATGGGGGTGAAAACACTCCTTCAGGTATATAGGGCTCAGAATTCTTTTAGGGCTTTAAAGATCAGCACCGGGTTTTTTCTCAACCGAAACTAAGTTCTGGCAGGTAGGCACCATTGCCATGATAAGGTAACAATGGTGTTGTAATGTGGTTATTACCACTCAATCTTTTGGAACAATTATAATTTTCAACGTTTTAGGCTACCCCGTCAGATGGGTGGCATATAAATAATAAAATAATAATTATTATAAGCAGCTACAGCCAAGGAAGAGTGCAGCATATGCTGAAAATGTCCCTTTGACTAGTTATACCAGCTTTGTAGCTGAGGGAATGTTAGTTTGTGTATCTGCTAAACGTAATAAAGGATATAGGCCTACAACTCCATGAGGCCTTCCTGAGGAGCAGGCCAGCAGTAACAGGTCAGTCAGAAGACCTGTTAAGACTAAGCCCCATGAAACAGAAATAATAATAATAATAATGATTTATTATTTATACCCGCCCACCTGGCTGGGTTTCCCCAGCCACTCTGGGCAGCTTCCAGCAAAGATTAAAAATGCATTAAAACATCAGTCAACAAAAGTTTTGCCACAAGGGATTTGGAATATGGAAGAGGTACTAGGGAGAAGCACAATCTGATCCCTATTCCCTTATCCCAAAGAAAGAAAAAGGAAGAGCCCAGGGCAAGAGTGAATTCTCATATGTAGTTCATGTTCCCAACAATTACTGTCTGTGGCCCCCAGCTTTGCACACACACATGCACGGGCCCTATAGGGTGCGGCAGCAGGGCTCCCAACACACCAGCCCCATACAAGCTCTGTGGGTCACCACCAAATGCTACCCCCACTGCAGGCGTGTCCCACAGTGTGTGCTCCTGTTCAAACGGCAGTAGTGAACATGCGGAGGCTAAGCGTGGCAACACCGAAGCGGCACTCCACAAGTCCGTTTTGAACGACTGAAGGGCCTATTTTAAACTGCATGCGATAGTGCCCATTTAGGACGCTTCATCCTCGGTGGGGGGAACCCTGTTGCACACAAAGACTTAAGGTCGTTGGGAGTTGAATCTGCATTACGGGATGATGGCAACTACTGGGGCGCGCGGGTTGCAGCGTTGAAGTCATTTGAAACAGCCTACGACGTCCGAGGATGAAATCTTGCATCCGTGACGCGGCTCTTGCCTCTCTCTCTCCCCCCCCCTTCGCCCCCCATAAGCCTGAGAAGAAGCAGGCGGAGGAGGGTCCGCTGCCGCGGCGAGATGGAGCGGCCTGCGGGCGTTGTTCCTCCTCCTCCCCCAGTGAACGGGACTCGGGCTAGAATTGCGGAGGCCGCGGCTCTTCAGCTCCGCGGTACTTCTGGATAGGCGTGCGCGTCTGGAAAGTGGGGAGGGATGGAGAGGAGGCGTCGTCGTCAGGGAACAATGCCTCCCGCCGCCCGGGAGGACCGGCCTTGATGCAAGCGCGGGTTCCCTTGCAGGCGAGCTTGCAAATGCAGGGACCCGGCTGCCTAGGAGCCAAGGCGTCCTCTGCAGCGGCGGCGCCCTCCTCCACCTCCTCCTCTCGCTTCCAACCCAACTCTCCTGCCCCCGGTGGCCCGGGAGGAACTGAACTGTCGCTGCACAGGAAGTAGCGGCTGCTGGGAGCACACAACCGCACACACACACCCCACATCTCTCTCTTTTTCACACACACACACACACACACACACACAGGCAGGCAGCTGGGTCTGCCGCACTCCATGCCCTCGGCTCTCTGCACCGGAGCCCGGCGCCGCCGCGACCCCAGGCTTCCCGCCCGCCTCCTCCTCGGAGCAGCCCTCCGAAGCGCCGCCGCAGTGCCAGAGGCGGCGGCCCCAATTGCGGTAGCCGGCGCTGAGGGAAAGAGGTGGCGGCGCTGCTCCTCCTCCTCCTCCTCGGGGGAAGGCGGCGGCGGAGGTGGCCGCGGCTCTTGGGTCGGAGCTGGGCCAGGGCAGCCGCGGGGCAAGGAAAGGAGGAAGGAGGCGAGGCGGCGTCGGCTGCTGCTGCTGCAGCTGCAGGTTTGTGCTGCTCCGGCAAGGGATCGGGTGGTGCAGGCGGGTCCGTGCAGCTGCCGGCAGATCGGGTTCCTCTCCTCCCTTTCCCATGAGGAGAGACCCTCTCACCCCTTTCTCCCCTGGCACAGCGCCGGCCCCGGCTTGCCCTTCTTCGCAGGTGGCTCCGCTGGGCTCAGCCTGCTTGCCCGCCCCCCCTCTCCCCGCCTTCCTCCTTTATTCCTTCCCCAGCCCCTCCACGCAGCCCTCTCCTTGCTGCAGTCCTTCCTCGGGCGCCTCCCTCCCCCTCGCAAGCCTCGTTCTCCGGCTGCCAACTTCTTCCTGCACCCCGTTCCCTCCCCCGGGGAACCTTAATGGATTAGTCTCCTTTTCCCCCTCGCCCTCGCCCCTCTGCATTGTGCGAGCCGCTGCCTTCAGACCGCTGGATGGTACGGGTAGTAGCTTCCCCTCCTCCCTTAATTTCCTCCGTTCCCCTAATTGCTTCCGTGCTGTGGTAGTGAGGGGAGAACTATGTCTGCCGGATTTCTTCAGTGTGTATGTGTGTTTTTTTTACTTTTTGGCTGAGTTTCTCTTCGGGTTTTTTTTTTTAACACACCAGGGGTTAGCCTTGCGATGCTGAAGCAGCCCTTGTCTCTTTACACACACCCTTCCCTACGGTTGTGCTTCAGGCCCCATCTGCTTCTCCGAAGGATTGTGAAATTGGAGGTATGCTTTCTGGGCTTGGACGTTGCCGCTTTGCCTGGATATCTGTGGTGTTGCAAGAAAAGGAGGGGCTTCCATATCGTGGGGTGGACTCTTTTTAGACTCAATACTTTCTCTTTAGCCTTTATATTTGTGGGCTGGGATTGTACTGTATAGGAATTGTTAACAGGCATTTCTTCAGTCGCAGGGATGCTCAGCGTTGGAATTGTTAGTGACAGAAACTGGAAAAGACTATATCCTTTCCGCCAGACTGTCTCGATTTCATGTGTTTGAGATGCAAGAGATGCTTCCTGAGGGCCCGTCCTACTCAGTTATTTTGTCCCTGGGAGTTTTGAGAGAATTAAGAGGTTTTTGCTATTAATTTTGCTCAGTCTGTGCTTTTAAATGAATCAGTAGACACTGGTCTGTTAAAGGGCAAGGGCCTTAAAATTAAGGTATACGTACTTGCCATTCTACTTTTAGTATGAGAACATTGTTCTCTCTGATCAGATTAGATTTATTCAATTTGTGTTTCACAGACGGAACCCCAAAGTGATTTGCAATACAATAAAACTCAGTTAAAATGAAATAAATATGTTAAAAGTGTTCATCTGCAAAAAATACCACCATACTTAAAAATAAAATAACCATCCCACCCACGTAAGGATGAACACTGAAAGCAAGACAGTTAGCACTGATAAAATGCCCTGGAGAATCAAAACATATTTGCCTGATGGCAGAAGGTTGGCCTGGGTTGATGCCTGGGAGGGCATTCTACCTGGGGAGGGGGGTCACCACAGAGAAGGCTCTGTGGCTTCATAGGTAAAATGTTACAGCATATCAAATGAAATGTGAGTTTTCCACTGTATGTAGATTAGATAGTTGCTGCAGCACACACCAGATATCTCGTCTGTGAGCCCATACTGCTGACCAGACTACCCTACGATGAACTAATTACCTGAATTATTGTGGCAAGTCACAGTGAGTGGTTGTTTTTTAAACCAAACATTGGGTGCAGATGTGTGGTACAATAGTAATATGTAACCATGGGATCTATGGAGTGTAACAGAATAAATTCTCTCACCGCTTTAAATATGTCATTATTTATATAGAGAAAAATATTGCTTCCGAAGCAAGTCTGAATATAGAGCTCTCATGTTAGTTTAGCCTAATTGGTAAGTGTATGTGTGTGTGTATATCTATATCTATATATACGCACACCTATCTATCATCTATTTATGTCTTATCTATCTACCTATCTTACCTGTCTTTACTCAAAGATCCACATTCCTCTTCCTTTGAATATGGCAGATCATCTACATAGAGGACCTGACATAGGAAAATTTGTGGCCTTCCATAAGTTGTTGAACTACATTTCCCACAATCCCTGACCATTGGCCCTGTTGGCTGTGGCTGATGGGAGTTGGAGAGCATAAGGTTCTTCATCCCTGATTTTTTGGACTACAACTCCCATTATCCCTGGTTATTAGTCATAGTGACTGGGGCTGATGGGAGTTGTATTCTTAAACATTTGGATGGCATGACACTGACTATCTTTGTTTTAGGTAGACTGTTATCACTGATAAGGTAGTCAAACCCTCAGTTTGATGCATTATTAATTTAGTGGAGCTTTTAAACTTCTGTCGCAACCGGAAAACGAGAAACGCTAAAAACACACCCAGTAGCTGTCATTCTCCATGCAACCAAAGATCTACATAGTTGTTGTGGGTGGAATTCTATGAGGTCCACTTGCGCAATGAGACTTCCCCCACCCAATTCTTACCCCATGCACACCCTAAACCTGCTATGGGTTTTCTCTCAACCCTCCAAAACAGATTCAGGGAGCGCGGAGGAAGGGAGAGTCCCGTTGTGTGAGCAGACCTTGTTCTGTGCAACAACAACGTAGTTGAATCCCACTCTGTGTTAACAAAAAAGAACATGCAAAAATGGTGCTGTCTGCCACAGCAAGAACGGGTATTATGTGGCATCTGTAGTAGTGCCAATTCCACCATTATCTGGCTTTTGTGCTAGACACTTGTGACAAAACCTTGTCGAAGCAAAAGTGGTATACCCTGGCTGATGAAGCAGGCTAGAAGACTGCTAGAACGCAAGCGGATAAAGACTCCAAATGAATACAACTGAACACAGATATGTGTGGATTATCTAGCCTACTCTGTGGCAGTGAAGTCAGCAAAGAAGGGTAACTTCTGTGCTGCAAGTTTGTCCTTGACTTGGTGTGCAGCAGAGCAATGTAGAGTGTAGTGTGGTGTGGTGGTTTATATCCTGGCCCAAAGAAAGTCAGAGTTCTCAATAGCCTGTTGTGACTTGTTTGCTAGACATTTTTAGGATAAAATCACTTGTATCCATAGAGATGCAGACTCTACTGTCATGGTAGGTCAGTCTCTTGGGGTGTCTACAGAGCAGTCTGGTCAGATGCCCTTGGATGAGTTTCCGTGGGTGCAGTTCAGGGTACTTGGACAAGTGTGGGTTACCATCTGTATTTTTGCCCTTCCTGGTTAATAATATTTGGTAGAATTTGTGTTCCGTTTGTTCTAATTTAACAAATGAACCTCTCTTTTGGGTTAACAGCCCCCTGCTCACTTCCTTTCTTCCCTGATTATCGCCACAGTTTCTGGAAAAGAGATTTCTCGTGAGAATAATATGGAGGGGAGACAAGTTTTATGGTCATAAAGCCACAGAAATTAAATTTGAAAGTCTTCCACCCAAATTAGTTTTTCTTCTAGCATAATTTAGTTTTTCCTCCTAGCAGGCATGTGTCTCTACAAAAAAAAGCTCTCCAAGTTTGATCCCTGCCATATGAAATCTCAATGTTCTAGTCTAGTTCATGACACCTTGTCATCTGTGAATTTGGGTGTCCACGCTGGTGGACATTGAAACTGCAAGCAGTTCAACATGCCAGAGTGTTCTGGGACTATAGATCACATGGTGTGTCCCACAAACCCTGAATTTATTAAACTTCTATTTTCCTACCTCTTTTTACTTTGTCTTTATTACTGTTTAATTTTAGGAGTTTATACCTTTCACCTTTGATAAAATTCATAGAGTAGTTTATAAAACCTTTGTAAAAGTCTTGAGAAAGAAGAGTCAGGAAAACACTTATTGGCCTCCCAACTATTCATGATCATAAAACTTCTCTTTCTTGCAATTTCCCCTAAATTCATAAAATAGAACAAATGTTATAGACAAAGCTGTGGGCAGCAGGAGGTCACTGTCTAACATTCAAGAATTCTCCACTTTTGGATTACAGCTTTTGGAGTAACAACCATTTAATGTTGAACTGAAATGATTAGGCGTATGTGGAAGAATTACAATTAACAGGAATAGCATATTCCTGAAAGAAATTAAGGAAAAATTGAGGTAATAATGAGATCAATGGCTGCCATCCGTGAATAATTCTCCAATTTGATTCTGAAGAAGCATGAAACAGGATATAATCCCAAATATCTTGTAAGCTATTACAGTGGAACCTCAGGTTATGTACTGTCCTTACAAACGCTTCGGGTAATGAGCTCCGCTAACCCAGAATTAGATGCTCCTTGTTGCGAACTTTGCCCCGGGATGCGAGCAAAAGTCGCGCAGCTGCAGTGCAGCAGTAGCAGGAGGCCCCATTAGCAAAATCACGCCTCATGTTAAGAACGGTTTCAGGTTAAGAATGGACCTCCGGAACGAATTAAGTTCGTAACTGGAGGTACCACTGCATTGGTATTGTTTGGGTAACTTCATTTTTTTAAAATAAAGTGGCTGCAGCTTGCATTTTATAATTTTCTATTTTATGGACATATACTCATATATATGCTTTCATGTATATATAATGGTTTAATGTTTCTTTTTTATTATTTCATTATCACTTAGATTCCAATGATTTTGTTTTTCATGAGTTTCAGAGCTTTGGACAATGTCCCTAGTGCATAATACCAAAATGTAACCAAGTTTTAATAAGTATTGGGTGACACTGCCTTAATAGTTATCATTTAGCAATATATCATAACTCTTGAATAATTGATGTACATATTTACCTCTGCTCTTAGGAATAGTTGATAGGTTTTTAATTTCTACCTATTACAGGAACTTTCTCGACATTTTCTATTTAGGTGGTATATAATGTTGTCAAATCTTACTGCAGAATTCAGTGCTGCAGCTAGCCAAGAATGTACCATATTCCAAAAACTTCGATGTTGTAGACCTTGATATGCTAGATACATATGAAAATGTGATTATTTGTGTCTTGTTATAGGACATGATGGTTATTTTCATGGTCTCCAAAACCACTTGACTGTCCTCACCTGCTGAGAGGCATTGATTTTTAAAAGCCCACAGCGTGTGTACAAGGATGAAGTGGTTACATTTAGGAAAAGTTGCTTAAGGAGTGTTTGATACACATTTTTAAGTTTTCCGAAGTCCTGCTTAATGACCCATCTCCCTGGTCTCTTTCTGTGAAATTAGAGCTAAGCCAATGGCAAAGTGAGTCTGTGACACTCCTGCCTGTAAAACTCCTCTGTGACATCAGAACAGATCATCAGATCAGACACTGGCGTCAGGAGGAGCCGGAGAGAGGGTGGCCAGCGCTCAGAAGAAAGTGTTGGGGAGAGCAGGACTGTGATGAAGTAGGTTTAACGGTAACTGCTTTGCTAATGGACCCTTGGCTATTTGTAGAATAAGTGTCCCTATTGTTTCTTTAAAGTATTGGAGGTTATTACTTTTCCTTTAGATGATAGATGTCGCTTTTGGTACTGAAAGAGCCATCACATGCCTTAAAGTCTAATGGAGGAGGCCCTGCTACCCAGGCAGGCAAGATGAGAACAGGGCTTTTTTAAAATCTTTTTTTACAGGGAATTGCTGCGTTTTACAGAGGGGAAACCTAAACTGAAATCAGTGGAAAATGTAAGGAGCCATGTTATGGGTTGGTTACAATATCATCAGTTACATGAAATGTTTAAAATAAACAGGAAAAATGGTTTTTCGGACCACAGCTCACAATTTGAAAAAGAACTTCTACAAAACAAAGAAAAGCTTTTGTCTAAAATGTACAATCTGTTATTAGATTGGGAAACAAAAGAGGAGCTTGTCAAAGCCTCTATGTCTCTATGATACACTGGGCAATAGATATGGGACATAATAATAGGTTTTAACTTAGGCCAGGCTTCTTCAACCTTGGCCCTCCAGATGTTTTTGGCCTACAACTCCCATGATCCCTAGCTAGCAGGACCAGTGGTCAGGGATGGTGGGAATTGTAGTCTCAAAACATCTGGAGGGCCGAGGTTGAGGAAGCCTGGCCTAAGTGGTTTGTTTTGTTGTGCATGTTGATAGTGGATTTACTGATTTTTTACAATCCAGTTTGAATCTCTGGAATTTAAACATTGTAGGGTGCAATAAACCAGAAGTTCAGTGTCCTTTTGATTTTGCTGAGGGAACTTTAATTCTCTTCCTTTGAAATCGAAGGAATTTATTTTTTGCCTGGATTGCACTCCTTGTAGTTATTTATTTATACCCCACCCTTATCCCTGCCTTTATAGACATTAATAATAATCTTTGAGCTGATGGGTGAAAATGTGTGGGTGGCAGCTAGGAACTTTTCAATCTGAAAAATAGACAGGCTATCCATGGGATAGAATGGCAAAGTGTGCAGGATTCTCCACATATTTTACTGAGGGAGCAATAGGAAAATATTAGTGTTGGTAGAGTGCAAACTCTGTGTGTGCAGATGTGTACACAAGTTGCATACCAATAACTTAAATGGAGCACTTAACAGAAATGGTTAGGCGTGTAGACTGTTAAAGTGGGGGGAAAGGAGTTGGAAATGCATTTTGAGGTTGCCTGACTCTGTTGCTATGATGAAATTTTGTATGATGGAATCTTATTTCACATCTGTGATTGCCCATTTTGAAATATGGTTATTGACTCATGCTTTCACAGGTGTATGAATACCTAAGGTAAGACAAGGAGGGGTTCCCAGATAATTACTTTGATAACTGGCAGACTGAATTCTGTCTTGTGATTTTCAAATGGCCTACAGACAAATTTGGAGGTGAGAATATAACTAATAAAATCTCAGTAGCTCATAAAGTTGAACTTTCTGCTTACAATCGAAACAGCCCAGAGTTATTGAGCTTTTTTGGGGGAGGATTGCCCAGAGTTGTTGAGCTTCTTTTGGGGGGTGGCCGAGAGTTGTTGAGCTTTTTAAGCCGCCCATCGCCCGCCCTATTACCGCAGCAATAGCCAATCAAAACCAGCCTTTGCTGCAGCCACAAATAACACCCTAAATAGCCACTGACAATCTCCAGTTCGCGGCAGCAACCAGTCCCACGTCACCCCTATGCACTATCCGTGTATAAGACGAACCCCTATTTTTAACATAAGTTTCTAGTAAAATAACCCCTCATCTTATACATGGAAAAGTACAGTATATATGCCAATCATATTAATTTACTAAAACACTTGATTAAGAAGATGCTTCCCAATTAATTGGGGCAAAAAAAATCTTCAGCTGGCCTCTGTTGCCTTTAAGGTGGTAATGACACATACAATTCAAACTAAATAATAAAATCTGAACCAAATCCATTCCAAATAAAACCAAATAATTGCTGTGATCACTGTTCTTTATAATATGAGGTAGTATAACTTGTATCTTTATTATTGTATTCCTTTTAATGTTGTCATTGCAAGCCACCTCAGATGACGTTAGGTGGGAAAACTAAGTTGCTGTGGGGCTCTATCCATCAGATGCCTCCTTTGGTGCAATTTCCGTAGGTTTGAATGAAATTTGAATTGGAAGATAATTTACTTGGCGGCACTGATTATTGTATTCTATATTGGTTTTGTACCACTTTTTTCTATTTAGAATTTATCAGACACACCATGCCAAAGGAGACATGTGCTCATACTCTCTCCCCCGCCTCCCCACAGTCTATTTAGTTATTCCTTGGTTTCCATGTCTATTCAAAATTCAGTGAGACTTGCTTCTAGATTAATGTGTATAGGATTGCTACTGTTTTACACAGTTTCCTGGGAGTATGCCTTGTTGAATTAAGTGGAAGCTCACTTCCAAGTATATATGTCCAAGATTGTGTCATAAATCTCCTAAAGTTCACTGAAGAATTGCTGTTGATAGACCCTATTTTGTTCTGGCGCTAGAAGGGTAAAAGGACTAAAGCTTTATTTGAAGAATACCTGCAATATCCTGGCAGTCCTGGCTCCAGTCAAACCTAATCTTTTGCTTTTGTGAGCATTAAATTCATGCTTGAAAAGAGCCTGAGTAGTTTCCACTGATTAATCAAGTGTAGCATTTTAAATCTGATTGCCTGGTAGAAGTAAAAAAGTGTGATAAAGAAAACCAACATTTCTGTCACATGTTTGGCTAGTGAATCATTCTATTTAAGTTTGAATGGTGGCATTTATCAATAGGGGTAGACTGTCAGGGTTGCTAATAATTTGAGCTTTTCATTGGTAGCAATTTATTGGATATCTGTAAATCTGTCCCTTCGCAAGGCATTTCGCTCACTGGAAATGCTTGCGAGAGTGGATCTCAGTTAATTTCACGCTGCAGAATATGGGTGGAATCCTGTTGGTGTTCTTAAGTTTATGGGAAGAGTTCAGATCCAGTGGATGCCTCCACAAACAAAATAAGAGGGGAGGTAATTTCTGCTGATTCCCTGCCCTGCGCTCCCCCCCCCCCCCAGCAGCCTTTGAAAATTGGCTCCAGAGAGATGGGGAAACCTTTCAGAACAGGGTGGGAGGTGGTGTGGAAGGCTTTAGTGGGTGGAGGGGGAGTGGTATAGGCAGAAATCATCTCCTCCTTCCCAGGCAGTTGTTGGATCACAAGCCCTTCTGAAAGTGCAAGGGCAGCAATTGGATTCTACCCTCTGAAGAAATCAAGACTTTGGTGATGTGAAGGATATTTTTTTTGCTCTTCATTCAACCTCCCAACAATGCAATGAGCGCTGGTTGCTGATGCCCATTGAGACAGATAGGGCAAAAGGCAGGGAAGGTAGCAGCAGGTGGAGCCAGAACCAGTGACAAGCAGAGCCAATTCATTCTCATTTTGTTCCCATCCTCCTGATTTCACATTTCGTTTCTTCATGAATCTTCCAGAATACAGTATTCACCAATTACAAGAGCCACTGGATAAAGAATGTTGAGACCTCCATGCAGGGGAAAAAAGGTTCCGTTACCGAACAACAGTGAGGCAGGATGGAATATTACAACCAGATCACAAGGTGCAGTGATGCAGGTCAATACCTCTCGCTTTATAATATATATGCAACACTTGAGTGATCCATTGTCCTGCACCAGCCCTGCCAACTCAATTTGATTACATGTCCTTGCCAAGAAGCATAAGAGCTCTTGCACTATCAGCATATTTTGGAGTGGTGTTTTAAACCCCCCCCATCCCAAAAAATCACCATATATTTCTTCCATCCTCTCTCCTACAAGTGTTAAATTGATACTTGAAAACAAACACCCACACCCACCAGCAGACTTATTCATTTGTTTATTTTATTGAGAACATTTATAACTCACCCTTCATTGTGATGGATTCCCATGGCAGGGTTCAAGCTACAGATTCTATGAAACTTCGTGAAACAGCCATAAATCATCAGAACAAACCTAGCAATAAGACCAGCTAAAGTCACAAAGCAATCTATCTGCCAGAGTTAAAACCCTAAAAACGTTAGCCTTAGATGCTAACTAGTTTATGGAAGCTGTGGAAAGCATGTGTTCTCTGGGGTGGCGGCGGAGAGAGAAATGTTGCAGGCTGTGTGTATGTTTAGAAAGAAAGTCAATAATGGTTTGTTTGCGGGGTGGGTCCCAAAGAATCTTTAGTCTTAACTTGAGGTAATGCTACTGGCTTGTGTCGTTGCCAGGGATACCCTTGTCATGGTTGTCCAGGGCCCGTGATGGTGTCATTCTTTCCTCTAGTCTTTCACAGAGAAGGTCTGCCAGCTTGCATCAGTACAATACACCACCTGCTGTGTGCATCCCCATTGCGTTGGTTACTTATCTACACCGAGAATGATGATTGTGGAGTTTTTGTCTTTGGTTTACACTTCTTTCCACCAAACATCACAGTCGTTTTCAAATGCAGAATACAATACTGGCCTGCAACTAGGCTTTTTTTTTGAGAGCCGCTTTCGAGAAGGGAGCAGGGGTGAGTGGGGTGACTGGAGCCCCATTATTTGGAGATAAACACCCTTCTTTCACCTTGAGGTTGGCTGTGTGTGTAAGAGAGGGAGAGAGCGCAGGCACATCATTCTGTTAAGAGGCTTAGTTTGGCCCAGGAGTGTGTGTTGACCGATCTGCAATGTTTGACCTTATGCTAACAATCTACGTCTCTGGCTCTTGCTCTGTGCCCTTCGTCTACCTGGAATGTGGTTCCAGAAACAGTAGAATCATAGAGTTAAAGAGTTGGAAGGGATCTTGAGGATCATCTAGTCCAACCCGCTGCAATGCAGGAATATACAGTTGTCCCATACCGGAATTGAACCTACAACCTGTAGTTCTCTTATGGGGCTGCTTGGATAGAAGGAAGGGATATTCACTGTTCAGAAGGGCATTTCTGAGCAGCCTATGAATTGCCTTCAGTAATTAAAGAAAACTGACTTGGACTATTCCCATGTAAAATAATCCAGTTGTTCTTTTTTTAAAAAAATAACGCTTCTGTTGATCCCTTTTATATACGAGTTGTTCCTTTTTGGCTACGTAAGCAACAGCATTCACACCAGAAAATAAAAGGAATGGTTACGTATTGTGTCATATTGATGATGCTTGATCTGAAAAACAGGTTCTTTCCCCATGATTCCTTATTTGCAGAAAAGCAGTTTAAAAAAAATAAAATATAGTTATATCCTGCTTTTCTACGGTCACAGAACCCAAGGTGGTCTACACGTGGTTCTTAGATAACCACCCATCCTGTCGCTGATCACACCCAGGCTGGCTTAACTTCAACAAGGTGTAGCCTAGGACCTTTAACTTAGTGTGTTTTCTAGGTTGTCATTGAATCATTTCAAAGCAACCTATAAATATAGGTAGGTTTTACATATCTGTATTCAAACTTAATCTTAACCAGGTGATTTTTTAAAAGTTAAATCTGATCCCCCCCCCTTTTTTTAAGTTTGCCCTGATTTTTTTTTTGGGGGGGGAGTTTGGGAATCATTGACTTAAATAGAAATAGTTTGATCAGAATTAGTCACTGAAACTTACTGCTTTTGTCCTCCCCCCCCCATGTAATCCCTTAGCCAGTAATATATTTCTGTTGATTAAACGGATGTTTCCTCATATTGCTGGCCTTCTAATATTTGCTGCCGTTATCCCCAGCAGGTTGTAAGAACTGTATCAGGTTCCCTCCCCCCTCATTCTTAATTTCTTTTTCCTGGCATTGTTTCCTTTATCTTTATTTGCTTCAAATACACAGAACTGGATCAACCCTAGATACTTGTAGGAAATCTGTGCTCCAAGCATGGGCCCTATGTAGCTAAAACATTGCCATTCACAGACATGATGAGGGTATCAGCAGCTTTGAGGGAAATGTCAGGGTTTGGAGAAGTACAAGAAATCCTCAGGGGGAAACAGCTACCACCTAGTGAGCCTGCGATGTAGACTGATTATTGCTAGCAGGGATGGGACCAGGAGGTGTGGAAGGGAGTATCGTGGAAATGGGTATGGCTGCGAGGAACCCTGAATAGGAGCATTCCATTCTGCAACATTTTGCTGCAGTCTCGCTTACAGCATGCATAATCTAACCATATTAATAACAGCAGTTGCTTGTATACATGCTTTTATAAATCTTCCAAGTAGTTTGGGGATGGTTTCTTCCAATGCTGCAATTAACTCTTATTCTTTATTTTTTTCCATTTCAGAACTTACATTTAGAATATGAGGTGATGAGGGCAACAGCATGATTTCTATATCAATCTTTTAAATCACTTTCGTCTCTTCTCCAGATTCATAATTTAGTACCTGCCATTAAGTTAGCCAAAGTTCTTCCAAGAGGCTGATCCGATGGTCTTGCTATTCTGGGCGGCTGATCTGCCAGCACTGTGCTAACGCAATGTTGCCGAGAAACGTATACTCTCCCCAAGCAGTGAAGTCAAAAGCACAAGAACAGAATCACAATAATGCTTGCTAATGAAACCTCTACTTTAGCCATGCGTGGAAGGCAGCAAGCATCACATAGCAAGGAGTGGAATGCCAGAATGGTGTTGCAGAACTTTCCCCCACACAATGTACAAGTTAGAAGAGCCCTCAGACTTTTTCTGGCAGAGATGCCTATGAGCCAGTAGTCAGTAGGTCTCGTTCATGCAAGATCGAGGGCAGGGAAGGCAAACAACAAGGGCACCAGAGGCACCACTGTGACATGACTGGTAGTTCTAGTGGGTTAAAACAATGCAGTAGTGGATAGGGGGTTTGAATTGCAATGTAAATGGGGCCTTCACAAGGGAAGCATACTATTTAGCAGTGATAATTTTGGGTGGACAAAGGAGAAGCAGTTCATTTATTCATTGGTGACATTTTGATGACCATCCACCAACCAAGTCTTTGGGGTGGTTTAAAAAACTTATGAATCAATGAAATATGTTACCTGAAATGTGTAAATTGACATTTGTGGTTGTGTTTTGCCATGTAGGTTGAGCATGGCCATTTATTTGGCGATGCAAGTGTGTCATTGCTTGACCCCATATCTCCCCAGAACCAGCTGGGGTACCAGCTGGGTATTTTTCTCCCTCAGTACATGTTCACTACTGTAGCCATGACCAAAATTTTGAGGTCTTTCTGCTGGTAAAATGTGGGCACACCCTTTAAGATTAGTCCTTTCATAGGCAGTTAAATGGCTGGTAAGATCAAATATTAGAGTTGGGAGCAAAGCATTCTACTTCCTCAAATGTACATATTTAGAAGATGAATACTGAACAATCGCTTGCCAAATTCACAGGCAAATTTATAACAACCTCTTTAAGAAAAATATTGCTGGGAAGGAAAAGAAAAAGTCTCATGTTTTTGTGCCAAAATATGCTGGGGAAAAGCTGGAAGAAATCCTCTGATTGGCCCTTGCCTTTGAATGCTTAAAGCTGAGTTTCATAGAACACAAAGTGGCTTTTCAAATAAAAATGTAAACCTTTTGTTTGAGGAGTAATCTGAAAATAGCAATGTAAAACATATATATTGAGATGCTCAGAAGCTCAGGGGATAGCCGTAATCCAGTGCATATTCTTTATTTACTTATGGAAGTACTAAGAGTGTTAAGTGTGACACATTTGCTGGGGATTTGTTACTTTCCATAAAATTTAACTACATATCTATATGAGATTAGGGTCACTCCCCCCCCCTCCCCGGGCAGTGTTTCGCAGTTATGGTATGCCTGTGTGGTAAAAGTAGGAATGTGAATGAGATGAATTCTGCAGTGGCCATGTTTACACACTGTGCTAAAATATGATTTAGTACAGTGGTGCCCCGCAAGACGAATGCCTCGCAAGACGGAAAAACCGCTAGACGAAAGGGTTTTCCGTTTTGAAGTTGCTTCGCAGGACGAATTCCCCTATGGGCTTGCTTCGCAAGACGAAAATGTCTTGCGAGTCTTGAGATTTTTTTTTCGCTTTCCCCCCCCTTTATCTAATCTGCTAAGCCTTTAATAGCCTTTAATAGCCTTTTAGCAGCTAATCCCCTAAGCCTTTAAGCCTTTAATAGCCGCTAAACAGCTGATAGCGCTAATAGCGCTAATCCGTCAATGGGCTTGCTTCGCAAGACGAAAAAACCGCTAGACGAAGACTCTTGCGGAACGGATTAATTTCGTCTTGCGAGGCACCACTGTACTTTGTGCATGAGCAGGAAGAAGCTGATGCAAACCTTGGGATCTTGATCTCTACCCTCTCCTTTCCTGTGTGGCTGGGAGGAAGGCTTCACCAGAGTTTCCTTTCACTTTTCACCAAACTTCGATTGTCCTTATGCATGCACTAGAGATTGTGGTTTAGAACAACCCACTTCATACATTGGGTTATACAGTTAGCCTTTTCAACTAACCAGGGTTTGTCTTAAACTATTATCTCTGGTTCATATAACATGATAAACCAAGATGAGTGGAAAGTAAAAACAAAACCTAGGAAAGTCCTCCTGGCCACATGGGAGCAGGGAGTGCACGATCCCAAGGCTTCGCTTCGGCTCATTACAGCTTGTGCACATAGGGCAAACCATGGTTTAGCATTACATGTGAACTGGACCAGTGACTGGAGGTGAAAGAGTTCCACTTCAGCAGTGCATAAAATGAGGTTCTGCAGAATATTATGGGAGGAGGAATAAATGGATTTCTTTACTCCGAATTTTCTGGCTGCTGTTGCTCTTGTTCTAATTGTCCTTTGCAGAGGTGTCAGGGTTCCTTTTTCTTTTCAGTTTAATTACAGAGAAAATAATTAACTTGAGCACCAAGTGGAGGATTTGGGACTTGTGAAAAAAACATTCCAAAGAAAATCCTACTCTGTTCTGTTCCAAGAATATACTAGCCTCGGTTGAGAGACAACAAACCCAGAAAGCATCTGTACCAAGAAGGCACAAAATTTCATTTTAAATGCAATTGTATATTTCTTTTAGAATATCTGCACCCTTTAAAAAACCATTGAAAGTGAAATACATATGTGTAAAATGAGATGAGAGGGGAGAGGAGGGAAATGAACCTTGCTTGAGGAAAAGGTCTGTGGGTTGAGCAGTTCTGAATAAGTGAGGGAAAAGCTGGCATGGCTTGTACATACTTGCATACATACTTTCCCTTGTCTGAAGCCTCTTTGCATAATACTTTTATTGCCAGTTTTACAACAGTCAAACTTTGGAGTTTCAGGGAAACGTAGAATCAAGCAGGTGCTTGCCTGGGAAATTTTTTATCTATAGTTACGAAAAACCAAATTCTGATTTCACAAGAGAGGCATCCCTGTGGGTGAGCAGTTATGTGTGTGTATGGCAAAAGACTAGTTTCTTCATCTGCAAAGCAGCATAGTTGCTATGAGAGCAGGTTGATGGGCCCTCTATTCAGTTGTCATTTCAGCTTCCAGGTGGCTTTAGGCAAGCCACTGTCTCTCTGCCTCAGCCTTCCCTTCTTTTACAGGGTTGTTGTAAAGATAACAAAAATGATATCTCTGAAGCATTGTAGCAAGTTTAGGCACTATATTCATACCTCCCACAATATATTTTCTTATTTGGCAACAGGCAAAGTCGCATTTATTTTCACGGGCCTTTTAAATCGTGTTTTTACTCTCTAGTATTATGCTGTGTTTCAATGTGGCTGATTTACTCTGTGAAACTTGTTAGGCCTTGTACTGTGGCTTCTGATATTTAAGGTTCATGCACCTTTTTGCTTGACCCATATTTTGATTGTATTTCATACCAGTTAATTCCCCTAGGTCAGAGAGTTTTTCTCCTTGTTCTGTGGCTGTGCCTTGCGAAAATTCAATCCTGCCCACCAAATCGAATTCTATCAGATGTGTGAAAAATCCGAAGGGACACTTTGCTTAGCTGAACTTTGATTCAGCGGGCAAGATCGAATTTTCCCAAGGCACCAGCCATGGAACAACAAGAAAAGCTGTCAGACTCAGGGGAATTAATCAGTACGCAATACAATCAAAATACGAAAGTGTTGATGAAACCTTTTAGACTTCTCTGATTTAATAAATAAATAGTGCTGCTGCTGCTGTATAGAACTTTATTTATATGTTTTTAATGAGCTTTAAACATTTTTAAATTATTCTGAAGCATCACCCAAAGGTGCCTTCCCCATTGTGATACCCTCCAGATGTTCAACATCAGCTCCCATCAGTTGCAGCCACCATGGGATGATGGGAGCTTAATACATCTTACAGTCTTGTACTGCAACACCCACAGTAACTCAATATCTCATTTCAGTTGCATAGACCTCAGCACCTGCCTTCACCTGATCCCTGTATAATAGCAGGGGCAAGGTAGAGTTTCTCACACTTTATTATATTGCTCAGCATAGCAATATGTCAGTTTTTAATGTCCAGAATTATATAGGATAAGGTGTGACATTTGAAAGTTGCTTCACTGTTGGCATAATGTAAATTATGAATGCTTATTGCCTGAGAAACGTTATTTGCATCACTCAGCTGTCCTCTGCAAGTCTGGATTCTATTTTCACACTGAAAAATAAGCTCTTTGTGTGCACATCTTACATAAGGTTGTGATATAGAAATTAATGAAAACACTTGTGTGCCTTTAAGGGGAGTGCCTGATGTAGAGAGTTTTGGGCTCCATTCGGTAGGAGTACAGAAAACAGAGACTGGCTAGAGACAAAGTTGAAGAAAAGGTGATTATTTCAAGTTTCATAAAACAGCTGTATCCAACTAAGTTATATTTGGAGTAGACTTGAAGTTCGACAAGTTCTGAGTACCAGATGCTAGGTGCAAACAGCAGGGATGGACATTGCTTTCACACCCTGCTTTTGAGCTTCAATAGGATTCCAGTGCTGCAACACCATTGGAGACAGGAGTGAGACCCTGTCAGCATATTGCATCCTTGCTCAGGGATCTCCACTGGCCTGTTTATTATGAGACAAATTCAATGTGTTTTTCAATGTATATGAAGCTTATACAAATGCCATCTAATGTTGGTTCCGCCCTTGGGAGGGATCTTACCTTTTAGTACAGTACCACTTATGCTCTGAATGCCTGCAAAAATACTTTTTTATTTAGGCAAGCCTACCGGGACACGTAATTGTATTATCTGTACTGCATCTTGAGCTCTGTAGATTTCACCTATATTTCAAGGAGCTCTGACTTGCCCAGAACCTCACTGTGCATCCCTAGCAAAGGTAAGGAATCTATTTCCCAAAAGCTTCTTTCTTCCCAGCTCTTTCCCCTCTTCTCTCCCCACCTTTCAGCTTAATGTTTTTTGTCCTTCTGCTGCTGCTTAATCATTCCCCATTTTCTGCCTCTAATCCCACTTAATTCCCTCCTTTTACTTCAGTTCTTCCTCTTTCTTGCTTTACAGTGGTACCTCAGGTTACGAACAGTCATGCTTATGAACGCTTCAGGTTACGAACTCTACAAACCCGGAAGTAGGTGTTCTGGGTTGCGAACTTTGCCCCGGTATACGAACGCAATCTGCTTCAGGGGCTGCGGGAGCCTATGTGGGGAATGTGCGCCTCGGGTTAAGAATGCTTCGGGTTAAGAACGGACTTCCGGAACGAATTAAATTCATAATCTGAGGTACCACTGTACTGCACTGAGGTTGGGAACAATGGCAACAGATTAACACAGACCAGGGTCCTGTTTCTTTACCAAAGCACTGCTGTGTCAGTCATAATGTTAGCAGTGTAGTCTGGCAGCAGTGTCAGAGTTCTCCTCCTACTGGTGGACGTTGACTAAGGCATCTATTCTAACAGTCAAAAAAGGGGGGAAGTTTAAACATGATTCTGAAATGTGGTAACATCTCACAAGGCAGTTGCAGGCAACACTTTCGTCTCTTGAGCTTGTTGAAGCTACAGAGTGGAGCAAAGTTGATGAAATTTGCTAGCTGAAGAATTGTGCTCCAGCTGCTGCAGTCCTTGAACATATTAAGAAAAAAGCTGTCCACAGGGTGGAGATGCGGGTGGAAGTCTGGTTGCAAGAAGTCTGGCACAATTGAAGAAAGATAACATGACAAAAATAGAAATGCTGACCCACACAGGCATAAAATTGTCACTGAGCACCCCATAGTTTATATTTTTCTGGTTTTAAGTTGAGCAGCAACATGCAATGCTGTATTTTCAGCAGCAGCTACGTTTGTTCATGATTCTTTAGAGAGTGCATATCTGTAAGTTTTAAACTGTTTTTAATATTGTCGGCCCTGGGACCTTAGGGTGAAGAGCAGGCAATAAATAAATAAATAGCTTTCTGTTGAGTACAATTTGGATAGTCCGCCCCCAGAGGCTAGTAGAATCCAATGAATTTGTGAATGCCTTGGGTTTCTTCCCCAAGGGATACAGGAAGTGACCATGTTGAAGGGCTTTTTTGTGCTATTGAATAGTAAGATGTGTAAGGATATTGATACAGCTGCCCCCAGTAACCTCCAGATTGGATTTCTTTACCATGCTCTATGTGGGACTGCCCTTGAGGCTGATGCAGAAACTGCAGCTAGTGGAAATGTGGTGGTTCAACAGCTCACTGGGGTGAAATATTGCAATCATTTTACAGTATGCCGTTACTGAAGGAGTTCCAGTGGCTGTCAAATAGCTGTTTGTGTAGCTTCAGGGTGCTGGTATTTATGTCGGATATAAAAGATTGCCACATCCGTTACATATCCAACTCATCACTGTGTTAAGCCTGACTTAATTGCTTCTGGTGCAGTGGAACACCGTGACAGAAACCAGAGTGCATGGAAACACTGTGTACCTTCTCACCACAGCAGTACCTTTTTATCTACTTTCACTGGCGTGCTTTTGAACTGCTAGGTTGGCAGTTCATGTGCAACATGAAGCCACTTGACAAGACTGCTTTCCCTTCAGCATGATGAAGTTCTGCAGTTGCTGTTTCATATGATGGAATCTATGTAAAAGTTGGCTCTTTCATCACCACATGCTGGGCTAACATCTTATCATGAGGGTGTTTATAACGCTTCTTTGATGCCCACACCATACCGCAAACTGCTCACAGAAACACTCAGTTACAAAAGAAGCTTTTCTTGTGTGCCAATGAAGAGCTTTTCTCATGGGAATATGGATCTAGGCTTGTTGGTGTAGGTTGACTGAAATTAGTGATAAAAATTGCAAAAGAGTCAACAGTCATGTCACCACCCAAAGTAAGTTTAAATCAAAAATGGGAGAGGGAGAGAGAAGATTTGTGGGAATAAAATGAATAATAAAATGAATATAGTTGGGATCCACCCAACTTTTCTCTATTAATCATTATTTATTGGATTTGTTTGTTTCGTTATTTAACTACATTAAAAGCATCTCAGCCACTTCTAAAAGGCCACAGATAGTATAAGGCCATAGACCTGTTTATAGAAGAAAGGTTTTGCCTGGTGCCGATAGATACATAATTATGGTGCCAGGCAAGTACCCCTGGGGAGAAGGTTACACAAACGGGGAGCCACTGCAGAAAAGGTCCCTCCAGACCTCTTGGGGACATTTGTATGTGAACAGAGCTTCCCTCGCTCTCCTCCCACCTCTGGGACATTCAGGAGAACCCCTACAACAAAGAGTGGCAATTGTTGCATCTGATAAGCTTGCACAAACTGATTTTTTTTTAAATGGCTCAGAGTTTGAATTCCACCCCATGTTATTCTCTAATATGCACAACAGTGTAATATTGTTCCCAGCACTGAAGTGAATAGAGTTCTAGAACTGATGTACTCTTTTTGTTTTGATTTCCAGAGTTAACACCATTTAACACAAGTAGCAACACTTGCTGTGTGCTAGTCTCAAGAATGCAATTGCTTCAGTTTGATTAAACATGTACTTTGGGAATATAGTCGTGACGCATGAGTAGGATAAAAAGCTGTGCTTTTCCTAGTCTCTTGAAACTTAACTGTTTGCTTTGTAGTGAAATTAAAATTCCCATTAAGTATTGCTGCTGCGCATTCATTAATCTTGTTCCAGTAATTATTTCAGATGTATTTGTTTATTGTTCCAAGAGGTGTCTGCAGGTCTCCTCCTATATAATCACAATTCCCTAAAGATGTACATGGAGATGCTGGTTTTGATCCCTAAAGCTCTAAATAGCTTGGATTATCTTTAGGAATATTTTTTCCGATACGAACACTGCAGGCATGCCCATTGACATTGCTAAACAATAACCTGCTCCACTTAGTTTGTGCTCTAGAAGTTCTGCTAGGCCTACTGTATGCCTTTGTTTTCTGAAAAGTTTTTAGTTACCTCTTACGCGCTATCAGGTTTTTTTTTATTTGCTGTTGGTTATTTAGTCATTGGCTTGATTTCTAAGTAGGCTTCTGCAGATGGATGGGACCGAGATTCTGCAGACAATCCCACCAGTGGGTGAAACAATATTTTTGATGATTTTCCTTCCCCTTTTAGCCCCTTGCACCACATTTCATAAGAATCTAAGAATAACCCTGCTGGATCAGACCAAATGCCCATCTAGTCCAGCATCCTGTTATAACACTTCTGGTTGGCTGGTTATTGCCATGCTGGCCATGATCTCCACAATAAATAAATAAAATGCTTGTATGGACAACTGAATTCCATAGGTTTCTGAAAAAATATTTCTTTCTCATTGCCAACTTTCTTTTTTGGGGGGGGGGGGATACTGCACAAGAGGTAACTAAAACCTCTTCAGAATACAAAGGCATACATACCTTGAGATTAGTCCAAGCTAATCTCTTCACCCGTAAACAGGCTGTGATATTAGCAGCAGGCTTATTATTAGCAGGGTTCCACTTTTATGTCTAACTGTTCCCAAATGGCTGGTTTGGGGCTAAAGTCTTGAACTGGGTGTATGAGAGCTTCACAATCAAGTACAGTATTGTAATTCAACTCCAGTTTATTATTGGCATTCTTGAAAGTGTGATTCCATTCATAGTGTGACAGAGTTACAGAAGTTAAACAGTGCAGGATATCAGTGCACCATCTGCTAAATTATGCTCACAGTAATGGAGTTCACACATCACATAGGGGATATTGTGTGAGAGAAAAAGAAGTTTTAAAATATTATCTTACCCGTGATTCAAAGGAGCGAAGATTAATATGCAGCACCTGCAAAGCCTCTGTGTAGCTCATGAAATTTAATGGATTGCTTTTCATTAGTAAATAATTATGAGGAATGGTGCTTTGGTGTAGTCTGTTTGCTGACTAAAGAGAAATAATTGAAATTTAACAATTCTTAAACTCAGCTATAAATCTGCAAGCTCTTGTTTTGAGTTCATTCTTCATCATAGTTTTGCTGCTGCTGCTGCTGCTGTTAAGCAGCTCAAGAGAGGATTCAAAGTTCGCCTGGCTTTGGTTGCTTGAATTTCAGTCTGTTTGGATAGAATACTTCCTTAGGTTGTAAAGAAAGGCGCTTGTAGATGTGTCTCTGTTATGGAATGTCTAGCTGTACAGAATGTTCTTGTTCACTCAACTTCCGGGGTGTTCACTCAACTTCCGGGGTGGCGCCATTGGCAATGGCGGACTCCCTCTGAACTGGAGGGACCAGCTCCGCATGAAACGGGTCTTTTCCGCTACGGCGAAGCGGGGACCCTTCTGGAAATCACAGGCGGATGAAGCCTGTGACCGTGGGACTCGGCGGGCACCCTTAGCGCCCCCCCAACCCGCAAAGGAACCCACTAACGGGCTCCGAAGCGAAGAGGGGGAAGTGGCGCGGTGCTGTGAGTCAATTGCTTTTTCTGTGGAGCGAAGCCGCATAGCCGTTGCCAGAGAGCGCTGCCTTTTTCCTGGGACAATTTGGCATCTAAAATAACCACCCGTGAGTACTGGAACATTGAACATTTGGACTTTAAATAAGAACTGGCGAAATAGAAAGGAATTTGGACTTAAAAATTTACCTTAATTTGGTACTGAAATGGTAAGGTCTAAACAGGAAGTCAGCCTTCCGTTTCCTTGTAGCCAGAATAAAGCAAAGACAACATAAACTAGAGCTTTAAAAATCACTTTCAAAGGATTGGTTTTCATCATTTAAAATTGCTGAACCCCCCTTTGGCAGCAGGAGAAGAAGGGGGATCTTTTTTGGGCTGTTTAAACCTGCAGAAGTGAGTTTAAAGCAAAGTAATTTTCCACCGTCCTGATCCTGGAGCGGGGTGTCAGAATTGACGTTTGAAGCTCATTGACCAGAAACAAATGTCTTTGACAGATAGTTAAAAGAAGAGAAACATAGTGATTCCATTGTTTCCTTTCGCATTTTAAAAAGAACAAATATGGACAAAATACCTTAAAAAAGAAACGTTGTTGCTATTGTTTTTAAAAGAAAGAACAATCAGAAGATTTCCCCCTAGAGGGGGACTGTGAAATTGTAACTAATTCCTGGGAGCTTGCAGCTGCCACAGATTACAACCGTGGGAAAGGATTTGTGGCCTTGCAGGACAATGTCTTCAGAAGCACTGTTGGGTGCTCTCTGCAAAATAAATGCCCTATTGGATCAGTTAAGCCAGAAGACGGATTTGATGACTAATGCGGCCAGAACCTTTGAACAGGTAGTGGGAAATTATATGGAGCCCACCCAGGAGCTAAAACAGGAGTGTGCCATGACAGAACAGCTGAGAGAAGAGGATGCTGCTGAATCTTGGGCGCCAGAGACGGAGGGAGCTGCGGCCCAGCAGGAACATAAATTTTTGGATTTGACAAATGAACTTGGAAAAAACCAGACTTGGAAAGATAAAGTTTGGTTTGGTTTGGAAATGGGGGGTTGGACAGAACCCCCCTATACAGGGAGATTTGGACTTTTCGAGTCTGGCAATGGGCCAGATGTTTGGAGCTGTGGGGGCTCTCAATTTTGGAGGGAATCTGAAACATGTTTTTAAATACCACATGGAGTCTAGTCTGGACTATGGAAAAGGGGCTGATTTGTTGAAAAGGGTCAAAAACATTACCAAGCTGGAGTTCCCACGAATGAAAGGAAAATATGAAGAAGAGCTGCGGAAGGGACATGGAAGAGACTTGAGGGCTTCGGATATAAGATTACCAGGTTAATGTGCTAGATTAATAAGATAAAAAGGACTGACAAAACCCGGGACCAGGAGGAAGGGACGCTGGATGAAGATTGGATTGTTTATTTCTTTTTTTTATCATTAGGATTGTTCTATAAAATTGATGAATGCTAGAAAAATGTTGAAATGAAATTACTTGGCTCTTGTAAAAATGTCTAAAGAATTTGGTAAGAATGTTATGGCTAGGAGAAGTTGGTAAAAATAAGATTTAAGTTTTAAACTTTAAGGTTTTCTATAAGATAAGATGAAAATAGATTAAGGTAATGTAATGACAGAATACTATGAATTATGGAAAGGATTTGCTGTGATTATTATTAATCAGGATACAAGAAAAGGGAGGAGGAGGAGGTCAAAGAAAGAAGGTATTGAAAGTGGAGAATTTGAGAATGATGGTTTTATTTTTTATTTTTATTTTTCTGTCTTGTCTTTTTTGTGTGTGTAATTTTAAAAAAAATTTTTTTCAATAAATATCATTTTAAAAAACCCCAGAATGTTCTTGTTCACTCAACTTCCAATAGATGTTAAGCACCAGATAATCAAATATTATTTTAACACTCATAAAAAATGTAAGGAAAATATTGATGAAAGTTTCAAACACAAAGAAGGCAAAACTTAATTGTTATTGCTGGTGCTGTTGTTGTTGTTGTTAAAAAACAGCCTCTTCTGTGTGTAGACCACACTCCCTAAAATTAGGGAGGCCCTAATTTTACTTTCAGTGCAGATGTTGCAATGACAAAAAGAACGCAATAAGAAAATAGAAGAAATTAATAGTTACTTAATGCAAAATATATTAATACTTGCATATAATCAGTGAAGTTACTTGATATAATTATACTTCGATTTTGCACTGTGTGAAGAATAACTTTCTTTTGTCTGTCCTGAATATTACAACATTCAGCTTCATTGGCTGTCCCTGAGTTTGAGTGTTATATGTATTCCTACAACCATAAGATTGTGTACAGTTTGATACAAATTATAATAATGAAAGGAAATTGAAAATTTTCCTACTTCTCAACTCATAACATTACACTTTCTCTTCCTAGAATTTTTTTTGGCCAATTTGTGGTCCTTTAGCAGCAGGTATCCCTGTTGAGTGCATTAAAGATATTGAGCCATTCATCTGCAAATGCATACTCTTTTGAGCTATAGATATAGCCAACACTTTGCTTCAGTTTCCTTGCGATACCTGTGCCATTTGAGTAAATGACATTAAATAAGTTGGAGTTCTTGTTATTAAATATACCAAGAAAAAAGCACACCAAGAACTCAGGCCAAAAGTAAATGAGTAAATGAGGCACGTGCTGTGCAAAGTTCAATGTGATGAAGCTCACAAGGATAATTTTCCATATGATTTTGAGCCCCCTATCATTCAAAACATCTCTCTCCATTTCTTTAAATTCCAATTTATTGTTAGCCTTTCTCTGCTTGTAATTACATATTTTATTCAGATTCAAGACAATTATTTGTTGCAGATCATGGAAAAAGTGACTTATGGGAAGATCAGGCAGCTTTTAAAAGGTTACTTGAGTAAAACATATTTTGTTGTTGAAGAAACATCAAGAAATAAACAAACAACCTGATTTAAGTGCAGACTGCATTGGGAACCAAGAGGCTTGAAAGCAGAATATTAGGCCATTGCTGCGGATGATTCCATGTAACTGGTGATGATGGGAATGATGATGGGTCATTTATGCTTTACACAAGTAATATTTTAGATAAAATTGGTTTAAGCAGAAGAGGGTATACCCTGTGTCTCTGCTGAGTTTTTTTTTTTTTTAATACAGTAAAGCTGTTCTGTAACCTCAGAGGTATTATTTGTTTCCCATGTGGGCTTTCAACTAATTAACACAGGGAAAACACAACCTCAAGTGGGTCTCAAGAGGACTATTATAAAAATAAATATTGTGGTAAGAAACTGTTGATGCATCTTGATCTGCGGCCACACAACCCTGGAGTAATTCACTCAGAATATCCTCTTCCACCTGGTCCTATGCTTACAATTATTCTGAATAGAACACTCTCTGCACATAAACTTTCACTGAGAGACTGGGAAATGTCTCTCTTGCTTGTCCTGGTTATAAAGTTATGGAAGTGTGGCTAATGGTAAATAAAGGTCACTTAGGTAAACGTGGGTGGTGCTGTGGTCTAAACCACTGAGCCCAGGGCTTGCTGATCGGAAGGTCGGCGGTTCGAATCCCCGCAACGGGGTGAGATCCCATTGCTCGGTCCCAGCTCCTGCCAACCTAGCAGTTTGAAAGCACGTCAAAGTGCAAGTAGATAAATAGGTACTGCTCCGGCGGGAAGGTAAACCGTGCACTGCTCTGGTTTCGCCAGAAGCAGCTTAGTCATGCTGGCCACATGACCCGGAAGCTGTCTGCAGACAAACGGCAGCTCCCTCGGCCAGTAAAGCGAGATGAGCGCCGCAACCCCAGAGTTGTCCGCAACTGGACTTAACGGTCAGGGGTCCCTTTACATAAGATCGCAGTGCGAATGAGAAAGACAGAAGGAGGAGAATACTTTTGTAAACAGTTAATTTTCTTCACCTCCAAGTTGCCTCCTTTTCCTTTAAGTCTACTGCATAGGCAAAATACTGGATCATTTGGGCCAATTGGGTGGTCTTTGTGCATTTAAGTTGTCCGCTTTTTTCTTACGCTGGACTTTGTTTCTCCCATCAGGCATTTAGACATTAATGCTGTACTCATCAGATTTGTTCTTTGTCATTTTCGTTAAAATCCTGTTTTTCTTGCAAAACGGTTGTATTTTGAAACTTCTTATGCTATCTGATTTGGCATATAAATGGATGTGATTGAAGCATGTCAGGTAAAAGCTGATGTTCCATTCGGGGAAGGATGGAACCACATGCAGTTGTTGGTGGGATATATTCTTTGGGGGGGGGGTTGCTTAAACTTTTCTCCCCAAACTGATTCTCTCTGCACTGGCTCCACAGGCCACATATGCACCACCAATTTCATTTTCATTTTCGTAGCCCAGTTTGAGGGGGGAGCAGTTCAAAAATAGCTTGAGGAGGAAATGTACAGGAAACTAGTTACTCATCATATTTTAGAAATTGTGCAACATACAATTTATGAATAATAAGTGAATGTTTTCTGAACAAGTTGTGGCAATTTCAGTCTACTAGGTATTTCCTCCAAAGCATCCATGGTGTGTCTTGTTGTAAACCCCAATGCTTACTTCCGCTTCTCTATTACAAAGCACTATACAGTCACTATACAGGGACGCGGGTGGCGCTGTGGGTAAAAGCCTCAGCGCCTAGGGCTTGCCGATCGAAAGGTCGGCGGTTCGAATCCCCGCGGGGTGCGCTTCCGTTGTTCGGTCCCAGCGCCTGCCAACCTAGCAGTTCGAAAGCACTCCCGGGTGCAAGTAGATAAATAGGGACCGCTTACTAGCGGGAAGGTGGCTCTGGCTCGCCAGAGCCAGGCTGTGGCTCTGGCTCGCCAGAGCAGCGATGTCACGCTGGCCACGTGACCCGGAAGTGTCTCCGGACAGCGCTGGCCCCCGGCCTCTTGAGTGAGATGGGCGCACAACCCTAGAGTCTGTCAAGACTGGCCCGTACGGGCAGGGGTACCTTTACCTTTTATACAGTCATACCTCGGGTTACAGATGCTTCAGGTTGTGCAATTTCAGGTTGCGCACCGTGCCGAACCCAGAAGTACCAGAATGGGTTACTTCCAGGTTTCGACACAAGTGCAGAAGCACCGAACTGCGACCTGTGCTCGCGCAGACGTGGCGCTGCGGGTTGTGAACGCTGCGGATTGCAAATGTTCCTCCCGCACGGATCACATTCGCAACCTGAGCGTCCACTGTATAGGATTCTTGCAGCAAGATTTGTCAATATGTAACCTCCAAATATTCTCTCTGCATCTTCCATGAATCACAGTTGCTGTTGTTTTATAACAGTGGTTTTAAGCTGTTAGCACTCGTTATTTCATGAAAATGTCTTGGCAAGACATTCAAGGATCAGAAACCAGAAAGCAAGATAAATAGAAGTTCAAATTATCTCGCCTGCCTCCTTGATTTGCAAATAATGGTGAGTGAGCCAGGACTGATAAAGGATGAAAACACTGGAGAGTAGAGGCCTGTGGTAGTCATCTACAATTTGTCATTTGCTGTGTTTATTTCTTATATTTCTTACCTGCGCTTCGATGTAAGGTCCCAGGTGGGTTACAACAATTTTAAAATAAGGTATAAATGAAAATGGCCTGCAAGTTGTGATAATTGCAGCACTGTGGTTCATATTTCTGATTTTATTTTGAATAAATAAAACCTGCATTAAAGTATTGTGGTAAAGGAGGTCATAATGTTAAAAATGCAAGAGTGGTAGTACTTCTCTATTGTTGTTACTGCTTGAAGTTTACAACTGGAGACAAAAAGTCTGTTTTTTCTGGTAGAAGATAAATCGTTTCATCTCTGTTCTTAGATTTTTTTTTTCTTGGCTGGCCCAAACTTAGTGTTTATAATGTTATTTCCCTAAATAATATGTAGAAAAGGCACATGGTTCAGGAGAATTCAAAGCAGTCAGTGCTTTTGAATTAAAATTGCATTTCTGATCACTGCTGCAGTTGCTTTTAGAGAACCAGGACTGTAACTGTAGAACACCCCCTGCTGGAAAACACACACACACAAAAATCCACAATTGAAATCTTTTACAACATTTAATGAAATCAAAAGGCTGGCTAAATGGAAGTCCAGTGCACTGAGAGAAAACATTGAGATGGTTTTTTCTTTCAGTTTACACCAAAGCTAGTACCTAGATTTTCCTATAGATTGTAGAATTAAACTATGAAACAGTTCAATCCTGGACTTGAATAATTAGTCTTCGTCATCAGCATTATGCTTACTTGCCTTACTAACAGTCCAAAACAGTCTCTTCAATTTAGCATTCAAATTACTAAGGCCGCAATCCTAAGCATGTTTCCACACAAATCAGACCTGTGCTGCTTTGTTAACTCTCATGTCAGCTGATCTGCACGATAGCGCCTGCTCACTCAAAGGTTCAAAGGTGCCTTTTCACTATATCCCTTCTACTGTGTGAGAAATTTCTGCTCACTAATAAGATTATGTGTTAAAGCAAGAATTTGGTCTGAATGGTAGTCTAACACAGTACTTTAGTCAGAGAAAACTGTTGTTGAGAAATACAGTACTGTCAAAGAAACTTCGTTCCCAGAGAGCTACAGAGCAATCTTTTGTGGGTTGTTACAGAATTAAGGAAATAGAAATTCTTTGTTTCCATTATTTTCTTCCATTATTGTTGTGTGACTTTATGTGTTATTGCCCGAAGAAAGAGCTTTCAGTCAGATGAAGGCTGGGAGGAAGGTGTGATCCTTACAAACGTTAATACATTTTAACCTTATCTGGATTCACAGTGTTCTTCTAATCATATGTAACCAATGTAAGAAGTGCTCATCTTTTGGAACTTCTTGTTGTGAACTGGGTGTTATTTTAGGACTTTAGTCATATTGATTCATAAGAAAAGAAGAAGAAGAACCACATCCAAAATCCAGTTGGGGACCAACCAAAATATTACAAAATAGTTACAAACTTTAGAACTCTTTGTCAAGCAAGAAGCTACAGAAAGGAGGTGGTAGGATGATGAAGAATAAAAAGCAAAGGAGTACATGTGTCATCCACAGAGTCATTAGATAATGTTCTTGATCCCTTTATTTCACAATGTGGTGTGAGACTGAGGAAATTGGCTTGAAAGGCATGGTAACATTTCTCCCATGTGTAATATGGAAATTGGGACTGTTTAAACTACAGTAAACCAGTGAGAAAGATGGGAATGGTTGAAACATGTATGGGTATTAGTTATACATGAATATGCGTTATGAAGGAAGTTACTCATAATGATTTGCCTAGAGGGCCATCAGGGCTTTGCTTTTTTTGCACGCAGCATTTCATATATTTCATGTATTTGAGTTTCACATTTCCTAAATATTACCTATTCTAGTTTATTGCTTATCCTTTTGAGGTTTGCTGTTGTGTTTGATTTCATTTTGGGTATTTTTCTTATTCTTTAGTGCACCACTAAGTACATGAAATTTCTGTGCATGAGAGCAAGTGTCCCTTTGTTCTTTGCTGCCATTAAGAAATAGGTAGTGGTTCCATATTTTTCCAGTACTTAAAGATCTCCAGTCTAGCTGCTGATAAACAGTATGTGATCCATGTCTTTACAAGAATAATAATCCTCATTGTCAGAAATAGGCTGAGGGAGCCGGCGCTTGCCTACAGACAGCTTTCTGGGTCATGTGGCCAGCATGACTAAATCGCTTCTGGCGTAATGGAATGCCATGACAGAGACCAGAGCACACAGAAACACCGTTTACCTTCCCGCCATAGAGGTACCTATTTGTCTAATTGCACTGGTATGCTTTCGAAGCTGGGACAGAGCAACAGGAGCTCATCCCGTTGCGCAGATTCGAACTGCTGACCTTCTGATAGGCAAGCCCAAGAGGCTCGATGGTTTAGACCACAGTGCCACCTGCGCCCCTGGTGTCAGAAATGCCTAGTGCTTAAACATGCATAATATCCTAATTCATGACCTGTTTCTTTGATGCCACTAATAAGATTGGGCATTTTATAAAAGTGCCCACCATGGCATATGACAGAGTACTCACACTCCTATAGCCTTTCCAACAAAGATTTTAATCAAGGAAAAAAGGAAGATACCTTTTCCATAGCACAGCCTTTCTTAGTCAAGAGGTCATTTTCTTCTTTTTTTCTTTTAGCTATTGACTGGTGAAAACTCAAGACAGGAGTTTTCACTCCTGTGATGGTAATACTCCACTTTCTCCGTAATTTGTTAATTTATTAATTTGATACCTGCTGGGCAACATTCAGTTTCATGAGGAGCATTTTCAGGCTATAGCATCGTTGGGGGGGGGCAAAGTTACAGAGCAAGACATGTTTTCTGTCACTAGATAGTTTTATATTTTATTTATCTTGATGGATAGTACTTCTAGTTCCTTCCAGTTAGCATAATATATCTTAAAGAAATATTTTGAATAGGTTATGAATAATGGTTTGAATTTAATAGGTTTGAATAATGGTCTTTTATAGACCATGCACAATTTAGTTCTATGAAGGAGGCTCTGGGGAGGGAGAAACATTTGTTGTTCAAGAGCAGACTAGAGAGCTCCCCTCTTCACAGGTATGTTTTTAGGTAGAAAAGTTTTCTTGCAAGGCACAGCATATGGAGCTATCTTCTGCGCATGAAAGAGAGGTCATGGCAACTCTGTTTTTATGGGAAATGCAAAGGTATCAGCTGAGAGCTCAACATCATATCTGTGGCATTTTTGGCAACCTGAAGTATGCAATGGAGATTATGAAAATTGCTGAAGCAGAAATTCAATGACGTGCTCATACGGCTATTGGCCGGAAGATTTGTGTAAATGCAGAAAACTTCCCAGGGGCCCATTTTGCTCCTTTTACAGATTTAAATGTTAATTTGTTGATCTGATGGTTGCTGTTCTCTCCTAGATGAGGGAAACAGGCCCAGTTTGATGTGCATATCCAGAAATGCATAGACTTCTGGTACTTCATTTCTTGAATCGCAGTTTGGCATCATTTACATACTGGAACTTTTGCTAAATAGACTAGAAAATGCCATTTCTTGGACGCATTCCTGATTGCACAGTTTATATTCTCAGTTATAGTAACAGCTCTTCATTTCCTTCCTTCCTTCCTTCCTTCCTTCCTTCCTTCCTTCCTTCCTTCCCCCATACCCTACCAGGAGAGTAAAGAATTCTGCTTAGTTTCAATACTGTGAAGTCAAATTATTATTTAGAACATAATTGGCAACACAATATAGTTAATACAGTATTGATGTACTTTTTAAAAAGTACATCTGATACAGAAGCCAATCTATACCAATAGCAGCTTTTTATTTTAACTCCTTTCTCCTTCTGATATCCAAAGGTTTGGTATTACAGAATCACTATTAAACGTATAGTACTGTGATTTTAGACTTCTTAGAGATGTAAAATTTCCCCAATATCCTTAGGAAACTCATTACAGTACATTTATTGACTGAGTCCAGGGCTTGATGAACTTCAGACCTAGGTTTGTCTTCTGGGATGTCCACTCCAGTGTTCAGATTCTGAACAATGTAGGCGTTTTAACAGGCAATGCCTACTATGTTTGAAAACAACTAGCACTGACTGCGGTTGATCATGTATTTTGAAAGTGTATGTGGCAAACATCTGGTCACAGATGTCTGCATCACCTTTAGTCTCATTATAAAAAAATAGAATGATCACAGGCTTCAATTTGTTGTTTGAAATTACTGCATCTTTATACGTTGAAGAAAGGAGAATAACTATTCTTTTCTTTCTTTGGCAGATAGCTTACAAGTGTTGAATCATTTTCAAAACAAAACATGTTGTGTTCATGCTTTTGTATTTGTGGAAACTCTTGAGTATTTTCTGGTATTTTCCCCAGTCGTGTCAACCAGTCAGGTTGCTTACTAGCTGATCTGTTGGCTAGTGCCATGCTGCTGAAAAGGTAATCAGTTCTGTTTCAGCCAGAATCCTGTAAATGCAGCATTAATGTCTTAACCATGGTTTTGAGCTGCTGGGGCACCTTTTTCCTTCCCTACCCATATGCCTGCATCGTAAACATATGTTGTTTTGGAATTGCAACACATCCACAATTCAATGGAGCTTACGTCTACATAAGTGGATAAAGGATTGCAGTCTTAACCAATAATATGTGCATAACTACTGCAGAAGATAAAAATTTCCTGTTTCAAGATACTTATATGTTTATAGTAGGGCAGACTGTGTGTGATCCTGAATGACTGTATGTCTGCATGCACACCCTCATCTTTTCTGGGCTGGGGAACAGCGAACCCTTGCTCCATCCAGTCTTCTCTACAAGACAAATCCCTGATGCAATTTAAAAAGATAGGCTACCACTTACATAAAGACATCTTGGGCTCATGGAATATCTGACCATAGTTTGACAATAGACAAATAATTAATAAGGCACTAGGCAAATAATAGATTTTCTTTGACTCCCATCCCAACTGTACTGTTCTTTAACATAATAGAATATTATCCTTCTTTGTTGTTTGCTTATCCTGTGGTTTATCCAAGAAGCTCAAGTAGGATTATGGTTCACCAGTTTATAGGACTTAAGAGTTATTCCTCCCTGTTTTTTTCCTTTTCAAAGCCCTTCTGCTTTTTCTTATGCCCTGTTTCACTTTATGATAATACTAATAATAATTCTGTGTGTGTATAGCATTTTATATTGAAAGAACTACAGCTTTCAAGATTTATGTTACTTTATTTTGAAATAGTAGATTTCACTTAAAAAAATTATGTATGTATGTATGTATGTATGTGTATGTGTATTTTTTTCCAATCCTCTGCCATTCCTCCCCACCATACAGTCTGATATATTCTTGTGCATGGCAATTGGCCTTAAGGCGATTATTGGATTAGGGCAAAGACTCAGTATGTCAACACTGACACTATCATTTAATGCAAGGTATTTACAATTTTATTCACCTATGCCCGTGTTACATTAATTTCTTATGGTGCTGGAGCTTTAAGAACTTGGGTGGTTTAACAAGATGCCTCTGTGACAAGAGGAGAAGATACCAGCCCGTCTCTTGTTGCCGAGGAAGCAGCTTTTAAGTAACAGCAATGTTTCCCGATTTACCACAGTGTGCTTTTGTCATCATAATCCTTCCTTCTTGTCAAGACTGATTTGTTCTTCAAGCGAGGGACTGTCATCTTCCTGTTTTTCCCGTGGCTTTCCCCCCCATCCCCCGCCACCACTTACTTGTTTTGTGGAAGCAAAAGTGAATTTGAAAGATGTTGGCAAACCAGTCCGGAATATGTTTGTTAGCTGGAGTTTGTGCGACGCTGGTTGCCCTGGCTTTAGCCTATTACCTGTACTGGTAAGTAGCAAATTACGCAACAAGTTCTGTGGGTTTCTTTTCCACTTCATAAGGCTGGGATCACATGTCTTTTTGAGAACTTTGCTTGTATCAAATGTGGTTTTTAGTGCAGTAGCTTGTAACTTTAGATCGATCTTCCCCTTCTTCACAGTGGTACTTATTATTTGTGGAGCTCAGGTGTTTTGAGAAATCTTTTGTGATGAAATGGAGGATGATAGGTTCTAAAATATCATTAGAAGAGGTTTGGCTTTTTAGCCTCCTATAGCTATTTACAGATTCTTAAATCCACACTGGCCTTGAGTCTTTTTGTTTACTACTAGCTACACAGGTGAACTGTAATATCTGCCTTAGGATGTTTTATAGAGATGAAGGAATTTGGATTGTTTTTATTCTTCTCTGTAGGGCTCCTTCTGTATCTAACCAAAGTTATTGATGTTGTAGCAGAGAAACTATTCCAGTGCATATTGTGGGTGTAGAGGAACTGATAAAATGGCAATCCAGTAGGAATGGGAATACTTTCGTTCTCCTGAAGCTTGTAGGTGTACAGTTCCACCCAAACTGTGCCCTTAGACTTTGTCTTCAGGGAATGTGAGAATGTGAATTTCCATATTTAGTGACCTAAGCCAAACAGTGTATTGAAAAATACTGAAAGCAGGACATTGTATTATACTTTTAAGCTTTACTTAAAACAAAAAATGGAAAATGTTCAGTTGTCTGTAAGTTTAATCAAATTAAAGCAATTTGAAGTGGTAGTTGAGACATTGGGTGATATCTAATGTTAGCCATAATCAGAGGGAACCCAATGAAAGCATGGACTTAAATAACCTATTTCCATGAGGCATAATCCAAGGATGGGCAAGTAAATTTCCACTCATGCAACAGGATTTTCTGTGCCCCTCCATACCCTCCTCCCAAATCTGTTCTGGAGGGTTCCCCAACATACGGACAATGTCTGGGAGGCCACAGAGAGGAAGAAAGAAAGGCAAAGGCCCACTGCATGATCAGAAGCTCTTCCAGTCACCTATGGATAGCATCAGGGGTCAGCAAACCTTTTCAGCAGGGGGCCGGTCCACTGTCCCTCAGACCTTGTGGGGGGCCAGACTATATTTTGAAAAAATAATAGTGAACGAATTCCTATGCCCCACAAATAACCCAGAGATTCCTTTTAAATACAAGCACACATTCTACTCATGTCAAAACATGCTGATTACCAGACCGTCCGCGGGCCGGATCCGGTCCCTGGGCCTTAGTTTGCCTACCCATGGATAGCATCAAATGCGTCCATGTGTCTTTTGTGAGTGTGGCTTAAGTGGATACCTCTAATCATTTCAAGCATTATATACCTCAGAACATGGAGACAGGAGCCTTCAGTTTAATTTGGCTTTTGTAAGTACTCTTTGATTCTCAATGTTTAGATTCAAGAGAAACATACAATGCTGTTACCAAGTTTTTTTTATGTCACCACTAATGACCGGGCAATCCAACAAAAGCTGCTCTTTTTGTAGCCACCAGTTTTGGTAGTGTTTCAGTCGGAAACCCTGATAACCCAGTTTCTACAGGAATGCTTGAGCGTGTGTGTTCCTTTTTAAACATACTTGAGATTTTCTGCCCGTGTAGCTCTCAGCTCTTTTCAGTCAGGATGAACTGAGCAGATGACACCAGAGATTGCTGACTACCAGCTTTGCATATTGGGAGATTAACCTGGTTTTGCTGTTACTCTGCCAGTGGTCTCTTGCTCTCATTGAGGTCAAAGCAGCCTGCTTAACTATAGGAAACAACTCTCTGAAATAACTGAGATTATGTTAGGTAAAACTATGGATCTCACAGTTTCTCAAAAAAATGACGAAGGCGATGTTATAGGTGTGAGCCTCCCCATGCACTGAGCCTCTTGCTGCTTGGATGCAGAAAGAGTCTTGATGGTGTTGGTGCTGCAGTTAGGAAATAAGCCCTACACTGGGTCTTGCCTGTTGCTTACTTTTGCAGTCCTGGGCAAAATATATTTCTATTCTCTCAGGCCTTTAAAACAGGGATGGGAAACCTGTAGCCCTCCAGGTGTGATTGGACTACAGTTCTCATCAGCTGCAGCCAAGGTGCCCAGTGCTCCTGGCTGATGGAAGCTGTAGTCCAGCAACATCTGGAAGGCTATAACTTCCCCATCCTCAATTAAAAACACGGCATTATTTTTAATTATTGATACTCTGTTGCATTTTATCTGCTGCTTAACTTTTCTCTGACCTTTTATTATTTGTACATATCTGTGTGGTTCTGATATTTCATTGCAAGCTGTCTTGGGAAAGTCATTTGGAGAGTGGGGTGTAAATGCCAAAAATACATGAACACATTTTTAGGGAATGGACTATGAAGCACAGGGCAGAAGCTGGATTGGGTTATTTTCTAGAAATGAGGAAAGGTACTGTGGTATTCTTCTGGTCGGATAGCAACAGCCAGGTTTGGGCTATATATTACAGGGCTGGAGAAAACTGTAGCCCTCCAAATGCTGTTGGACTCCATATCCCATCTGCTTCATGCGGCCTGGTCAATGAGCTGATAGCTTGATAGCTCAGTCTGTACAGCGTGAGACTTTTACTCTCAGGGTCATAGGTTTGAGCCCCATGTTGGGCAAAAAGATTCATGCATTGCTGGGGGTTAGACTAGATGATCCTTGTGGTCCCTTGCAACTCTACAGTTCTATGATTACCTGTGGTCATCTGTGAGTAATGGACACTAGGAAGATGCCGTGAGGAATCTAGCAGAATCTTGAGACACACAAGGGACACAGAAAAGGTCACAAATCGGAACTGACACTCTTCACACCTGCAGAGGTTCTAGTTACAATAAGGATCTGATTCAGGGAGTTGATGGTGTCCTGTCAGCTTGGAACATGCTGAAATGCCTCTAGAACTAGCCAAGTAGTTGACAACTAGATTAGTCTTGTTCACATTGATCAGTTACAAATGGGAACAATTCCAAGAAATGGTACATGACCTAACCTTCCATTGAGGTTGTGCAGAGCATCGGAGGATAACTAAATTAAACCTTTTTCAGCAGTTGGTTTACTTTCTGTGCTGTGTTATAGACAGCAATTTATTATTTGCCATTTTGCAAGTGTTTTCCCACCTGCCAAACCCATTCCTTTATAGCAGTGATGGCCAAACTTTGCCCTTCAGCTGTTTTGGGACTACAATTCCCATCATCCCTGACCACTGGTCCTGTTAGCTAGGGATGATGGGAGTTGTAGTCCCAAAACAGCTGGCGGGCCAAGTTTGGCCATCACTGCTTTATAGACTGAGAATTACTGCATTTTCAGATTGCGGTTGGAAGAAATGGGGAAGGAGTTAGAGAGAGGGGGGCTGCAGAGCATCATATGGAAATATTATAAAATGATTAGTTGTTTGCATTTTGTATAAGGACAATTCATAGAGAGCATGCATTGGTTAGTTTTAGGTTAAGACCCTTGACTATTCCCATTTTATCTATGCTTGTATTTCTAGTTTGCATGCTTGGAATATTTTAAGAACTCTTAAAGAGGAGCACAGTTTGATTGGATCAAATGGTTACCCTATGTGTTGCTTGCTAACCTTTAAATGCTTTATATACTCTGTCACTTGTACACTATGTGTATCCAGTCAAACACTTGCCTTGTTTCTCCCACTTTATCAAATTTTGTTTGACTCTCCTTTGTAATAATAAAAATAAAAATCATTTATATACAGTAGTTGCCTCCCCCTCAAACTGAAAAGCCTTTGTAGTTCTACAGAGAGTAATTGAGTTTATAACCTCTTATATATTCTTTGGGCCAAGGAGTATAATTTGTGCACATTTTTTACTGGACTTGGGGAAATGAGGGCTTGACCAGATTTGACCTCTGAGTTCCCGCACCGTGTGAATACTCTTGAATAGAAGTGTTTAAGAACTTGTTATTGCCAATGATAGCCTTTGACCTGTCACTTAACAGTTAAAATCCTGATTGTATTTACAGCTTGTTCCTTCCAAAGGGTCTGAGGTTGATAAAGTCAGAATTTGATGAAATGTGAAAATATAATTAGAGAATTATTGTGTATACACATGCACACAGAGGAATTCAACGTAATGGCATAGCAATCGTTGCATCAGCACAAGCATTTTACCTCCACAGCTAGCACAATCCCCCCTTTCCTTCCTTCACATGCTGTTCTGGGGGTTCTTCTGACCTCCCCAGAGCCACTTGGGGGCACACTGGGGGTGCATGGGATGAGGATGGGGGAAATCCCCATTACACTACTGGAGGGCCTTTATTTTATTAGTTTTACTGGTGATAATGCTAGCACTTTTGTCTTGATTTCTAACATCACTTTTACACTGCAGTTCCTATTGCGTTATGGAATTGTGGCTTTTTGATTGATATATTGCCTTGCCGTGCTAAATTTTAAATGGTGGGAAAGTACTGTATGCCAGAATACAACCCCAAATTTCACCATGTGAAATTATCGTACAGTGCAAGACTCCCATGATTTTTCTGAGTTAGTAGGGTTGCAAACAAACTAACACAGAAATTACTGCTAAACTTCCACTAGACTTCCAGAAGCAGCTTTTAAATCTTGAGGAAATATAATATAAAATTCAGAAATTAATAAGTAAGGAATTGCCTGGAAGATGAAATAAAGTCTCTTCTGAATGCAGCCTGAGATTGTATGCACACTTACCTGGAAGTAAGCCTCGTTAAATATAATGGTTGCATTCAGCTGGAATAATAAACCATGGCTTATCATGTTGGGAGACACAAGCCTAACCTTTCTGCAAGCTCATGCATTCCACCCCTCTCCTCTGGTATGGCTGTTAAGAGGAGATTGGAAGGTTTCAGATCCAATTTTCAGTTAACTACAAGTTTAACATTACATTTGAATCTTAAACTGTGATTATTCTTAACTCTTTTACTGAGAAACTTTCTTCATAAACCACAGTTTGAAGTTGGTTTGATTCAAATACTTGCCAAGGTTAACCACAGTTTGTTTGGTTCAGTTATCATGACAAGCTGTGTTTAAACAAATACTTAGGAACTGAAGGTTCCAGGCTTTTCCTGCCTATGCCAGAGAAAGGCTAGGCTTATTCCCATCATCATAAACCATGATGGTTTATGATGATGTCTGGATGCATCTAGTGTGACTTAATTCTGAGCAGAGATGCCCCGAATTGTGGTGGTGGGAAATCAAACATCTGGCTCTCTCTGGAGTGAAACCTCACGTAAGATTTATTGCCCATCAAACCATTCAAATATAACATCTTACGATCACTGTCCATTTTTTAAAAAAAGTATTGTCTTGAGTAGCCATTTGTGGTTATGTGAAGCACAGATTTCTGTATCTCTTTACAGTCAGGACAGATGGAGATGCTAAATAAATGAGCAACTTGCTCATTCAGTTGGGATATTGATAGCCCCAAATGCAGTTGTAGGTTACCACAGAAGACAGTGCAACGTACTGCTGAGGACTGTTCTTTTAATAGATTTGGTGGGAGCTTGAATGCTTTGAACTAGATGATGCTGTGCCTTGGCTTAAACACACACACACACACACACACACACACACAGAGAGAGGGGGGGGGTTGGTCCATATAAGGCAGCCCAGCTGCCAAGAAAACCTTAAATTCTTGGCTGCAGTGAGCCTTACTGATTTTCCAAACACACCTTATACTTTTGAACTGCACTGCTTTCAGACTCTCTCTGGGGTGGCTTTTTAAACATGGACAGGAGTAGGCTAACAATATTTTTACTGGCAAGGAACTCTGGGAAAATACCACTATTTCATCCCGGGGGGGGGACCAATTTGGTGTCTTCCAGACATTGCTGGGCTACAACTTCCATCATCCTTGGCTGTCGGTTATGTTGAGTGGTGGTTGATGGGAGTTGGAGTCCAACCAAGTCTGCAGGGTACCACATTGCCTACTACTTAGGCGTATGCCTTAGACTGAGGCATACGACAGTTGGAAGGAAAACTGATCAGGGACGGTGTGTCTCTTATTTAAGTTGAGCTGGCTTTCTGAAATTATCTTTTCTACACAACTGTTTGGGGGTGCAGGAGCTGTCTCCTCTTTTGCACCTGGCCACTTTCTTCTGTGTTTACAAGAAGAAGATTTTGCGAGCACCACAGCTTCTGAACAGACTGGAACAAATGGGAATGTAATATTTGTTTGAGGGGGTAGGGAAGGGGAAACCTAAATTCAGACACATAAGATAGAATTCTTACTAGTATTTTTATCCTAATTTGGATTGTTACAGTGTAATTCTATCCATGCGTATTTTTGGCAGTGGGACTTGTTCTGTTGTGTATTTTAGGACTGCAGTTCTAAAACTGCAGAGCAAGGTGTAAAACATAGGCTACTAAAAATTGCATCCTTTACCAAAAAGGTGTCTTAAAGAGCAAAATCTAGCCTCTTCCTCAGGTGGAAGAGATCTCCTCAGCCAACAGACACCCAAATCCATGGCCAGTCAGATGCTCCCTTCAAAGTAGGGAAAGGTTTCTAACCTTGTGTGATGCCAAACTCCACAGGTGTGTCCGAGCCAACAATAAGCAATTGTTTGATATGCATTTGTTAGCAGGGTCCATTTCATATGTAGATGAAATGCAGAGAGCAACAGCCTGGTTGAAATTTGATTACTGTAGTTAGTTGCCAGGAATGCTAAACTTTCTGGCACAATAGGCATAGCTTGATCAACAGGGGGTGTACAACAGAGGTCAGTGTGCAAAGTACAGAGAATTTAATATGCTCATTTTTGCTCAGCTGCATGGGCTTCCTATTCACTTCAGTGCTAGTGATTTATCTTTAAAATTTTAAATAGCTTAGATCTGTGTATCATAGGGAGTGACTCTCCCTTGCATTCTTCCCCATCCTCTGCAATTTTCTGTATACCTTCGTATTGTGAGCCTAGATTAGGGAGGAGAGAAGTGTTTTTCCTGTAGGGGCACCCACTATTGTGAGGGGAAAAAACCCACCAACCTGAAGGTCTAATTTTCCCTCCATTTGGTGAATTTCTACAACTGTTGGTATTTGCTGTATTGCCATTTTGAGTCGGATCCCGTCTAGTTGGTTGACTTTAGCTCCCACTGAAATCAATTAATCAATACTTTGTGCAGAAAAGGATTTTGTAGAGTTGGAAAGGTTCAGGAAAGGGCAACCACAATGATCAAGGTTGCAGGAAAGGTTGTAGCGTTTGGGGCTTGTTAGTTAAGAGAAAAAGCGAGAGAGAGGCTACATGATAGAAGTTTGCAAAATTATGCATGGCATAGGGAAAGTGGCTAGAAGGAAGTTTTTCTCCCTCTCTCATAACACCAGAACTCATGGACATCCAATGAAGGGGAGTATCGCAGGATTCAGAACAGATAGAAGTACTTCTTCATATGGCACATAGTTAAACTATGGAAGGTATGGCTTTAAAAAACTATGGGTTCAAATGAGGATAAGATTAATTCAGCAGCTACATGCCATGATGACTGCTCTGCCTACACAGACAAAGGCAGTATGCATCTGAATACCATTTTCTGGAAACCACAGCAGGAGAGGATGCTGCTGTGCTCAGGTCCTCCCTTGCAGATGGGCTACTGGGAGAACAGGATGCTGGACTAGATGGACAGCTGACCTGATCCAGCAAGTTCTTCTCATGGTCTTATGGATTCTTTTTGTTACTTCAGAAGCATATGAGGCCTCACACTGGAACATAAAGTTGTGCTTAACTGACGCAGTCTGTATTTGTGCAGGTAGATCTCATCATATAAAAGGTTACGTTAGCAGCTAACATGCGTGTAAGAAAAATTGCACAAGGCCAGAACAACCCCTGGAATGGCTCTGCATGACCACCCCTACCTGTCTGAAGCTGGCACTGAATGGGCCTTGTCTCACACACAAAGTGGAGAGCTTTTTAAGCCGTGCTTTCCAGGCTCTGGGAAGATAACATGAGGCCTCTGGATGGGCCTGCAAGCTTTAAAAGCCCCCTGTGGGGTTGTCTCATGAACTCATGGAGCTTCCCTCAGAGTCTCATGTGGCCTTTCCAGCTCTTTCCATGGCATGAAAGCACTATGTGGAAACAGCTTTTTAAGCTCCTTCTCAGCCTCAGGCTTTTGGAAAGTCACGTGAGGGCTTCCACTAGATCTCGGACAGCCCTTTTGGGGTTTCCCTCTGCTCTCCAGCCCCTTTTTAATTTCAAATTTTCTGAAAAACCATTTCCTGTAAAATCAGCATAAGATGAGATCGACCTCTATTGTTAAATCACTTTGAGATGTTTTATATCAAGCAATTCATAAAGAGAATTAAACAAACAAACAAGCATATATATTGTTTCCTATCCATGTTTGCAACTCTTTCACAGCATATGAGAGAGACAGCTCTTTTCTTATGTGGAACAAAATAGGCACCGTTCAGAATGCATGGCGTTAACTGCAGTGTCTTTTTATGTCCTGTCTTCTGCTTTGTCTTGTTGCTGGAATCTGCAGGAGGGGAGAGTAGTGCTTTGCTCTGGTCCTGCTTGCAGGTGTCCTGTAGGCATCTAGGTGGCCACTGTGAAAACAGGATGCTTGATTAGATGGGCCATTTGGCTTGACCCAGCAGGCTCTTCTTATGTTCATATTTGTCTTTGAGGACTCTTTCCCTGCCCCTCCTGACCCCGTGCAGTTTGGCTTTGTCTTCAGCTTGCCAGCCAAGCACACGCAGTTGGGTTGCTTGGTTTTGATTGTTGCAGTTCAGTCCCATTCAGCAGTTCAGTCCCATTCAGGCTTATTGTTTGAGCTGGACATATTTGGGTACACCACTGTTAATTGATGCAATAGCATTGAAATGGGAGAGCAGTGTCCCATCTTAGATCTTACTGTACGTATATGGAGAACAGCAGCTCAGAATAAAATTTGGCATGGTCTAAATTGCCTGTGTGCTGGTTTGAACAGGGGAAAAGTCAAGTTAGGTGGAAATTGTAATGTGGAGTGCCATTTCTAAATTGTAGACCAAGGTCAAACATGTTGTGAATTATTGTAATCTCTTTGAAGATGCAATTTAAAGAAGAAAAGCAGAGGATTATTATTGTTGTTATTTATTAAATTTCTACACCGCTCTTCATCTGAAGATCACAGGGCGATGGCAATTTTAAAGAGGAAATAAATAATATGGAAAAAATGAGAAATATATTTGTGACAAAAAAGGGGTAATTTGTCAGCTGCGTTGACATTTTCCTTGGCAGTTTCTTTTAAATTCTCAGCTTTCTGGGTAAATCAGTTTTAGTGTTAGAAATGAGGGCATTGTTGTTGAATGGCTGCTTAATAAGATACCTGTGAAGGTAAACCACCCTGGAAACATATTTCCAGATTTTAAACAGATTTAAAAAATAAATTTAAACAGCAGTGGTATAATTTAAAAGACAGCTATGTGATTTGTACAGTTAGCTTTCCTTACCATAAACGTTCCTGCTTTGAGCAACATACAAAAGGATGTCTTCAATGGTCATGGATAAAAGCATGCTCCAAAGAAACATGTCAGTTGGCAAAGTTTTGATTGGCTCGTTTTGACTGTCTGGTTCTTTTTTGCCTAGATTTTTTTCTTTAAATAGAATATAAAATGGATATTAGATTACTAATACTTGCATTCACTTACCTGGTAAGTTCCATTGAATTAAGTGGAGTTCTGTGATATAATTTTCTAGAATTTCAGATTTGTTGCACTATCTATGTGTGTGTTCAGTTTTGGAAATTGTAAGCAAAATTAAGCCACTAAATAGGACTAAGTTTGAAGCAGAATAGGGAGATCCTGACATATCTAACCAAGATGTCAAAGCATAAACATTAGAGCTGCTGTATAGAAATTTAATAGTGGTGGGTTTACTGTGCATTTGATCACATCAAAAATGCCTTGAATCCTGTTCCAGTTTGATCTCTTCACAAACATCAGAGGATCTTCAGACTGAAATTTAATATTGGGTTCATCACATTATGAAGCTTGTGATTTATAGAGCAGAACCATCTTTTGTTACTGTAATTGGTATCCCAGAATGAAACTCATTATTACTTTTGTATTTATTTTAAATCACACATGCTTTAGTAAAATTAACTTTTCTCAATCCACTGTTGCTTTTTAATCCAGAACTATATCTGCCTTCTCTTTGTACTGTACTTCCTTAGGTTAGTTTTATCTTTCCCCATTGGATTCAGTCAAGGCAAATGTAATGCTTTTTCTTTAAAACCTGCCCCTCCCCACATCCCCTTAGTGTACATACAGTACTTTGAACCACTTTCCTTCCTATAAGAAAGGAAATAGGATATTCTCAAGTATTATTATTTCCTGCCCATTCCAAAGGGCTTCTTTAGAACTTTGAAAACTAACAATAGTAGTATGATTTTTCCATTAAAAACACATATTACTTGATAGAGGAAGCACTCCAAATGTACCAGTTTCCTTAGGTGAATGAGTTGTTGGTATATAGCCACTGACTCTGAAGCAAACCTCTTAACTTGGTTTCAGCAGTGCCTTGCAAGGTGATTTGAAGTCTTGATATCAGGACTTCAAAGTGCTTTACGCCTGATGGCATTGTGATGCCTGCTTTACGAAATGTGCTTTTTTGTCCCTTTTTATGTCGGCATGTACTCTGTGTTGTCAGCTCTTCAAGCCAGAAATACTTGGAGAATCTATGTAAATGGCCAGTTGCTTGGTCAACAGTGAGGTTGATACTAGTTCATTCTTGGTGGATCATTCATAGAATTGTAGAGTTGGAAGGGTAAGGCTACCTTGAGTACTTGTCGTGATGTCTATATGCTGAAATGGAAAAATCAGTGCCCAGAAATTACAGCTTAATATATGGATTCAATAACTTAACCTATTAGACTTCCTCCATGATTTGATTTGAACATTATTGACATTAACAAGAATATTTCTTTCTAAGCTAGCGGCCAATTCATCCTCTGCCCTGTGAGAGAATGGCAGCACGACAGAGCAGTATTCATTTCAGAAATATCAAATACATTGTTGGGGAATTATAAATGTGTAATGGTGTGAGGAAGTAACTAATTATGCTAGATTGCTGTTGTGTCTTGTTCACAGAGCCTTCTGTCAAGTTAGCTGGCTTGTTTTTTTTGCAGTGTAATTTACCCACATGTGTGGGCAACTGTGCCTTCTTCTTACCCAGTTGCTGTTTGCTTCTTGTTTCTGGACTTTAAATAGCATATCCAAAGGGAGCAGTCGTGTCTGTTGAAAAGTGATAATTTCCATGCTAAGTGCCAGGACTGCTTGATCATCATCAAGAGATAATTTCCTGCTAGTTGAAAAAAACAGCACAATACTTGGCATGCTTACTTGCAAGTAAATTCCACCATGATCCCTAATAAGTGTGTTTGGGGTTACAGACACAGGTTGAAATTATGTACCGTAGGTGATGTGGAGAGCAAAAGGATGCTTACATTATGTAATGAAAATTTATATACAGGTACCACCCCCAACTTATGCAGGGGTTAGTTCCGGTCCCCCGAGCACATAAGTGAAATTGCATAAAATGGGGTGTACCCTCTAAAAAAACCTCTAAACACCCTCTTTGCTGCTCTCTCACCAATCTATATAAAAAATACTGTATCCCAAAATACAACCAAAATTGAAGCTTTGGGGCTGGCAGGAGGCTGGAATATGCGCAGGTAAATATCAGCTGCTGTGATACCCTGCACACCAGCTGTTAGGTGGGGAAGCTGAGCAGCCTAAACAAAGCCCACTGCACCTCTGCTCTCTTTGGGGCTTCCCCCGGGGCCCTCACTGATGTCCTCTTTGGGGTCCAGGGAAGGTCTGCTCACGAGCCACAAGGACTCTCCAGCTCTCTCCTGTCATTTCCAGGTTTGAAATTATTTAACTATTTCTTGGCAAAACGCACATGAGAGTCGATCACGTGTAAGTGTGTGGGGGGGTGCCTGTACAGTATCTATCTGCCTATCTACCTATCTGATATAATTTATTTCATTGCCATCTGAATGAAAGTAGCTCAAATGGGGACAAACTAGTTTGGATCCTATGAGAAGCAAACTTAAAGGAGTTCAGAGTGGAATGTTGCCTATCCCATCCTCCCTGCAGCTACTTGTGCCTTCTCTAGAATGTTGGAGGGGCCTTCTAAATAATAGAGGATTTGGCATGGGGATTAGGGTTCTGGGGTAGGTGGAAATCACACAAGATTTGGCTTGGATCGTAAAGTACTCACGGATATACCGTCCTGGGCTGGGATGGAGCCCATGGGGCAAGACAACAAGGCAGGGCAGAAACTGCAGAACCACAGAGTGTTCTGTGCCCAACAAAGGTTGAAAGCAAATTGAGCCCCTTTAAGCCTCTACTTGCATGGTAGAGCATTCTTAAGGGGCCAACACCCTGATCTGAAGACAGCCACTCCTGTGATTTATAGCCTACTACCTACCACTTGGAGTGGTGAGGTCTTGATTTGGGCTCTCGGGCTCACAGGAGGGTCCATGAAGGTTCTGGCTCTGTGGCTGGTTGTCATGTGTGATACTGTCAGGCTTAGGCTCAGTGGTCCCTTAATCTCCAAGAGGAAGGTACTCTACTGCTTATTTACTCTATGTTGTGATCATTGCAGGACTCTTGGGTCACAGCACCATGAATGAATGTTTCTTCTCCACCAGCCCCTTGAGCCCCATTCCAAGTAGTTCAGAAGGGGATCCTGAGCACTCCCAGTTAGGGGGCCGCAGGGGGGCAGGTGAAGAGGGACACTTTATGTCTTCAAACTTCCTTCAGTTAACTTACCTTGAGGTCCAGGCCTTTGCCACCCCTGCTTTGGAAGCCTTGGGCTTGTCTCATCTCACTCTTTCTCGCCACCTCCACGGTCTGACTCTGGAACGAATCAAAGCCCACTCAGCTTTTCTGTGGTGTGAAAATCAAGGAGATGCATTCTTGCAATCGGAAGGGAGCAACTGATGTGTAGGAGTTGGAATCATTTTGCCTTTTTAATAAGGAAACTGTCATTTTCCCTGAAGGAACACTTAGCACCAGGATTTTAAGGGAGTGAAAAATACGTTTCAGGGCCTGGCTGTTGGGCTATGCCTCTTCAGAGTTTTGTTAATTCCTATCCAGAGAGAGCTCAGCCACTAATCTTATCTGGATGGTAACATGGTGAGAGTTGTGGGCGACCAAGCAGCTTGAGAAGACCCAAAGCTGAGATAAAGTAGGGTGCCCCTGTGCCTGTCACAAGCTTTGATTTTTCTCCTGACCTGAAGAGGGAAAGGATTAAGGTTGGAAGGCAAAAACAAAGTGTAGGCACGTGAAGACTCCATTGTGGGTGAGCATTGTGGGTGTGTCTGTACAACAAATGACAGCCTTCATGGTGTACAAGAGCTGTAGCACATCAGACTGCAAGTGATGGATTACAAGATCGGGACAGCTGTGGCAGTTTAAGGCCCCGAGCTCTCTAAACATTTGTCAGAATTGAGCTTGTGTGTATTGCTTTTTAATCAAGTACTGTCCCCTTCCCAGAAGCCCTATGCAAGCACATCTCCCTTTCCTCACTAACACCCAGCTAAATCCTATTCAGCCTTCTCACACACCATCGGTCATTTAGCATAACTTTTGCTTCCTCTCCCATTCTCCCATTTTCCATTCTCCCTACATTTCCGCTCAAAACAAAGCTTTCTTTCCCTGACCCCCCCTCCCCCCGTTCTTTTCTACGAATTTTGAGAGTGGGTGCAGTGGCACATTTTTTTACCTGACCGGGCGTGCCCCGCAGAGTAGATCTGTTCACATCAAACTATAATTCTTTTCCGCCAACTACAAATGTACCAATTTCCTTGCACCCCCTAGTGGCAGGTGCTACCCAGCAGCCATAAACTACCGTATTTTTCGCTCTATAACATGCACCCGACCATAACACGCACGTAGTTTTTAGAGGAGGGAAACAAGAAAAAAAATATTCTAAACGAAACAGTGGATGTATGATTTTTGTGGTTCATGCTGTGGCCACATACATGTGATCTGACAGTGAGTTTGGAGTAGCCCAATGCAAAAATCCTGAGGATCCATGTGGATCCATGCTTTGTAACCACGTTTTTGCACCACTGCGGCCCCAGGCAATATTTAGCGAGCTGAGTGGGGAGGAGAGAGGGACAGAGAGCCTGCTTGCTTTAAAGGAACCAACCGGATAGGAGCCGCTTACACTCGCGTAAGCGGCTCCTCTCCTCTCCCGCTTTGCTCCTTTAAAGCAAGCAGGCTCTCTGTCCCTTACTCCTCCCCACTCAGCGGCTCTTCTCCCGCTTTGCTGTTTCAAAGCGAGCCACGGAGGAGGGAAGGAAGGGGAACCATGGATCCTCTGCTCACGACTGCAGCAGATCCCCCCCGCCACCCGTAGGCATTCCCTCCATAACACACACAGACATTTCCCCTTACTTTCTAGGAGGAAAAAAGTGAGTGTTATGGTGCAAAAAATACGGTAAATTTAAGTCATTGAACAATGTGGAATCTGGAAAACATGGGGCCTACCAAACACAACAGATTTTCAAAAACTAAACAAAAGGTACATCTTGGCACCGCACACTCTTTCTTTTTTATGATTGATGTTTTTTCACATTTTAAGCAGATCCCTCTTACTTTAATGATAGAGATGCTCCTGGAATCTGGATCCATATGAAGCATGCAAACTTTCACAGGATTCAGCTTTTCTTGTTGCAGAATTTGGCTTACTTTGGTGGAGAATGTTATCAGATTACAGATAGTCGTGAAATTAGTGAGAATCTGAAGCATCTATGCTATTTGAGAGTATTTTGCCCCATTCAGCTTTGCAAAAAGGGTATTTTGAGAGTGGGTAAGGGCCAAAGCAACAGATCTCGCCACCACAGCCAGTTTCTTTCACATCTGCCTCTTCTATGGCTGGCAACTGTTGGGCCAGAATGCCCTCTCACAAGTATGCGTTTGGCCCATGGTCCACCATTTCCAGATATTCATTTCCCTTACCTTTCCCCCACACCTTTTTTTGTAGAGGGAGGTGACCTTTTGACTTTAGTGAATAGGAAAGGACTCAGTATTCCCCATCCAACTCCCCTGACGATTTCCAAGTCTTATGTATTGAGAAAGTGAGGAGGCTGTCTTACATTTATTTAAAAACCATTGTTTACGTATAAAAGCAAGACGGTTCTGTTTTGTTGTTCATGCCCATGCAAAACCATCATATATGGTATATTGTGGCACCAGAATCTGGAGCTTTTGGAAAATCAAGCTGTGTAGGAATTGCAGGTGTGCAAGAGCTGAATGGTTTCCATTTTCCCAACACGATCTGCAATATAATGCTAACCAACTCTTGACCTGGATGAAATTGGCCTGGGGGTGAACATGCCATTTATGATTCCCCAGCTGCTACTTGGCAGGGAGGAAATATCAGCATTCCCCTCCCCTTCTAGATTAGGAATGTTTTGTTTGCTAAGCAAGCTGTTTCTTTCATTCTTTTTCTGTAGGACGGTAATTCTGAGTGAAGGACCTTGCAAGCGCTACTAAGTGGTTATCATGGGCTTAATTGCGTTTCTGAAGACCCAGTTTATAGTTCACCTCCTGATTGGGTTCGTCTTCGTTGTGAGCGGGTTCATCATTAACTTCATCCAGCTATGCACGCTAATCCTCTGGCCTATAAACAAGCAGTTTTATCGAAGAGTGAACTGCCGCCTTTCCTACTCATTGTGGAGCCGTGAGTATGCTCTGATTTCTATGTGCCAACTAGGAATGTAGTTTCTTCAGACTATAGCGGGTAGGCCTCCTTAGGAGCAGTGGGGAACAATGTTCATGGGTGCAGATGCTGAAACACTGATCTATAGTTGCAGCTGTTAGGCGTTGGGATTTGTTCTTGCATGGTGGACTTCTCTGCATGTACCATATTTCCCCCTTTTTCCATGTCCTTGCACCTAAAGGCAGGGGCTGAGGTGAGAACTCTCTGAAGTACTATTGCAGGAATGGCATGTTGTGCAGAATATAGCCACACATACACAAAAACAGCTCTCTGGAGGGGCCCTGTTCCAGCCCCTGCTTCTTCCCTCTCTGCTCTCCAGAAAACCCACTTGCCTGCGTAGCTAGGATAAGGCCCTTCGTCCTTCCATACAGCAGGTATCCACAAGTGGTTGGGCATTGTTCCTTCCTCCTGTGGCATTGCTTTAGTCCCAACAAGCCTAACTCTCACACACACCCTCTGTTGCCAGTGGAGGAGATATCAAATACCCTGTTGCCTTGTTCCTCTTTCCACTCTTCATTTTTTTGTAACTTCCCAGCTTACAGCTTTCCTACCTTCCCCCCCCCCCCGCCCCCGTATGTATATTTTATGTTTTCTCATTCTTTTCTAGTGCCTGTTTTTGTTCATTTGTCTCATTTCCCAGTCCTTTAGACCGTCTTTTACTTTCAAATTTCTTGCACAAATGCCTGTTTTCTTACTCCCTACCAACCTTGTCTATTCTAGTATTCACTGCAGTGCTTCCCAAGTTTGTAACTTGGGGCAAAAGTTTTTTTTAAACGTCTTCCATTGTAGTCACATTGCATCGGTTATTCGGAGAGCCTGAGGTATGACAGAAATTCTAGAGGGAGAGCCATCTCAGTTGTTTGTTTTTTAAAGCAAACACACACAAAATAGTCTTGTGTACCTTAAATATTTAACTGTTCTTAAATCTTTTAAAGTGCTCTAAGGGACAGTTTTTCCTCTGAAAAATTGTTAAGGTGGAAAACAGACCCTGCAAACAATCCAGTTGAACTGGCTCATAGTGAACTGCTGCTAAAATGCTATTTTTTTTGACTAGGTTATTCCAGGAGCAAGTTCATTACTGAGATCTCTTGCGACATTTTTTGACGTTGTCGCCTAGAAGCTCTCCTCTTCGGGTCCTTATTTTGAAAAATGCGAAAATACCATTTCCACCAACCTGGCAGGGACAAGCTGGGGAAGGGTGCTTTTTATTTTTTTACTTTTTTCCTGTCTTCATGTTTATAAGAGGGTACTGGGAAATAAAGATGAAATCATCTTAAGCATTAAATGGGCTTCTGTTGTACCCAAATGCTTTCACTCAAGGAGTTTTATGAACAGCATGATCTACTAATACAGGCGTAGCTCACCAGATCTTGTTGGACTCCCACCTCCCATCAGCCTCAGCCAGCCTGACCAGTGGTCAGGAATGATGGGTGTTGTAGTCCAACAGCAATTGGAGGCCCCTGTGTTGGCTAGCACTGCACTAATATCACTAACAAGTCTTAAAGTCAGACTGTTCTTTCCGTTATCTTTATCCATGAAGAAATGTTAGCTTTTTGCTGAACGGTCATTTCCCCTGCTTTTCTTTCCCTTCGTTTCTTTCACTTACTCTGAGAACTCTGAATATTACTACGACACGGCTATGTCTACAAACATACAATTCCAGTTGCAGCTCCCATTCAGGGTGGATCTTCCAGATTGACAGCTGACACTGGAGGGGTGTGTGCAGGGCTGGCAGGACATGGCAATTCAGGTTCATTAGGTGACCTCTTTAGTGAGACAGGGGAATAGATAACAGGCAGGTGGCTGGGAGTTTTGTCTTCAATGCCAAAAGCTGGCCATTTGGGCTTGTTTCAGAAGGGACATTGGTACGACATCCTACTACTGATAGAGCTCGTTTTTGTATCAAGGCAACAGATTCAATCCATGGCATCTTCAGTTTAAAAATCTTGAGAACAATAGCTTCTTGGAGAGCTTTGAACCATCATGGTTAGGTGGAGCTAGACTAGACATTCTGTTTCACTGTAATGCAGCTGCGTATACAGGTCATCTCCCAAACCTGTTTAGCTGGCTGGCTGTGTGAGATATAGAGGACTTTCCTGTATTCATAGGTAACTGTTTGGTACCTGGAGGGGGGAAAATAACTAGGTTTTTATTTAGCTGCCTTGCAGCTGTAAAGCAAAGACTCAATAGAAGGTTTCTAGTATTTAAGTAGCCAGTTAAAATCCAGGTCTTACACCGATTCCACCCCTGAGACTAGGCTGACCATGATGACTGCTGCATTCTTAGCATTCTTTCTCAGGCTCTTAATCAGTGTTCATCCTGATTTTGCTGAACTACAACTCCCATCATCTTTGACCACACTGGTTGGGGCTGATGGGAGATGAACTCCAACAGCATCTGCAGGGACCGCAAGTTTCTTGACCCTGCTTTAGAGGATGTCAAGTCAGTGGATTTAAAAATGCTGCAACTCCCCACACCTCTCTTTTCCCCAATGCAGAATTTGCTGTGAAAAGTAAATTTGTGTTTGTAGTGAAAAGCTGCCCTTTCCCCCCTGTGTATACCAGCTGAAGCACCCATGCATTTTGGAGCTCAATCTATGCTTTTTAAGCAGGCGGATTCACACAACACTCAGTATAACACGTCTCTTGAGGACTCGCAGCTGAGTATGTGAAACCACCAAGCATGGCATTTAGTGTGATGTGGAAAGAGATGCAAGTCTCTGCTGATGGTGGTCCGTCATGATCATTGCATACATAGTGCAGAATAAACTGACCTCTTTAGACTAGATCCCCCTTTCCAGATTGCTCTTCAAGGATATCTTAATTTAACTTTTTTTTTTTTTAAAAAAAGCTTCATATACATTGTACACTTTAAAAAACAAACAAACCCCAGAATAACTATTTGATGAGGTAATTTTAGAACCGTAAACCTTTTCCTCACCATGGGATGCCAGCCATGTGAAAGTCATTCACAGACTGGCTCCCTTCAGAGATTTGAAGCTCTTGCTGTGCCGCTCTTAACTAAAATGATCAGTGCTGCACTTCTCTGAAAAAGCTTCTTTCCTGTTGTAGAGCAGCACGGATGTTTCATCTGACTTCCTGCAAAGAGAAAACACTTTGCTGCATATTTAATTCATGAAGGCAATCTATATTCCAGCCTTATTCATTCTAGCTACCTCCAGATGACTTGAAGAAAAAAAAGGGGGGGGGAGCTCAGCATGTTCAGTTTTTACTCTCCTAGCAACAATAGCTCCATCCAAGTCTAAATGGATAGTTTACTGTTTGCAAGATTTTTGTACATTGCAGCTTCTACATTGAGTCCCTCCCCTCTGCTGTTTTTGGTTGTTTTGTTTTTTTGCATAATCATTTTTTTTTTAATGCCATGACATTCTTTCCATTTTAAGGCTAAGTGATGTTCTACTCTTCAAGTATTCAGACTAATAATAATAATAATATATTTATACCCCGCTCATCTGGGCTGGGTTCCCCAGTCACTCTGGGCAGCTCCCAACAGATTATTATTATTAATAATAAAAAGTGATAAAACATCAAACATTAAAAACCTCCCTAAACAGGGCTGCCTTCAGATGTCTTCTAAAAGTCAGATAGTTGTTTATTTCCTTGACATCTGATGGGAGGGCGTTCCACAGGTGCAACAGGTGCGGGGTGTGTGTGTTAACTTGGTGACCACCTGATTAACACAAAGCTAAAGTTGTTAGAATATACATGTGTTAAAATGTATTTAAAGTTTGTTTGTTTGTTTGTTAATTAAATTAGTATACCACCCTTTATCCAAAGATCACAGGGCAGTACTGTATATAAGTTGTGATACTTAAGGCTGAACCTACCAGTACCAGCATCACTCTCTGTCTCTGTCTCACTCCTCACCTCCAGCGAACTTCCCTCCCTCAGATGTTGCTGAACTACAACTCCCATCAGCCTCAAAAAGCATAGCCAGTAGCCAGGGATGATTGGAGTTATAATTCAGAAATATTTGGGTGGGGGAGGCTCCCCATTCCTGCTGGAAAGTATATTGTTATGTACTTCTCTGACTCCCAGTTTTCCCTACTTTTAAACCACACAAGAATAAAATGCACCGCTGGAAAAATACATCAGGAACCACTGTCAGATTTATTGGGGTGGGACATTTCTGTACAAGGCTTAACAAGTAAAAAAATTTAATTCAGTTTCTAAGATGTCAATATTGGAGCTGTAAAAGCTCAGGAAAAGCAAAAGGATCTTGGGATTTTCCCAACACTAGTGAAGTCAGTACTTCAGGCTACAAACATTTCTTCAGAACCAATTCTCTGTTCCTTTTGCTTCCCCCTCAAGCTGTTGGCAAGAACTGTCAGAAAAGATAGGGAAATACTCCTGGAGTCTAAAAGTTCCTCTTCAGGCTGTCCAGTATTAACAGAGGGTTCCCATCTTAAGAAAAGCAGACAGGCAAATAGTGGCTGTGTTTGCATAGCAATGTAAACCATAGTGAAAGTGCTCTTCCTCTAGCAAGAATAGAAACAACAAACCACCATCACTAGTTTAGTGTTACATCCGAATGAGATTGTAGATTTGTTTCACTCCAGATGAACCACAGCCCTCTCCCTGGGCAGAACACTAAGCCAGGAGTCATAGTTTGTTGCTCACACTAGGAGAGAAGTGAAGTAGGAGTGATCTCTGTATTCCTTGTAGACCATTAACTATGGTTTACTGTAATGTGTGAACACAGACAGAGATTCCAAATGGTCTGGTGGGATCTTGGGTTCCTTTATTCATTGGGCTACATTGCAGGGAAGGAACAACATAGTCAGTTGTTATCTGCCTGCAGTTGTATGATGGGTTATAATTTTTTTAAAAATTCAGACAGTAACAGAAATGCACCAGTGCTTGTAAACCTGTGCAGAACAAAATGCGGCCACTTCCCTTTTTAAAACACCAGAGTCTTTTATGAGTGATGCAGGTTTAAAACAAGTTCTGCTGCAGTAAGCTGCCATCTGAACAGGGCCTTGGGCTGGTGCTGAGGCAATGCTGCTGACTGCTTACTCATCATCATTACGCGATCAAATAGGCATTGAGACTGGAAGGGAGCACACAGTGACTGAGAATGCATGCAAACCATGGAGCCACAGAGCAGGAATAGCAACTGCTTTGCTCCTCCCTCAGTCCTTCTGCTGCCACGCTACCCAGAGCTAAGCCATGTCTTGCACAAAACAAACCAAGAAAAAAGGCTATGGTTATAGCTCATGGCTTGTTTAGCACAAGACATGGCTTATCATTGGGTAGCACAGCAGCAGAATTGGGCAAGGAGCAAAGCAGTTGTGGTTTTTTGCTCTGTGTACTTGCACACTATAGTTTGACTAAGCGTTTCAAGCAAAGTAGGCCATTGGGAACATACGCTCTGTTTCTGATCCTGATGAGGGAGGGCCTAGGTGGCAAATTTCCAAATCTTACAGGTAGTTCCCTTTCTGAACTCTCAGCCCAGCACTCCAAGCTGCCCACAGATAAGGGCAGCATCAAAGCAAGCCAGTTAGTCTACAGCAAATCAAGTGGATATCAACATATACGAGCTCATTGCTACAACAGCTACCAATTAATAGTGGGGTTATATTGACTACCAAGATGGCTTCTGGAACAGTTTGCCTCTGGTTCAACACACCTTTTTACCTTTAGCTGCAGTTAATATTACTGGGTTCGCTGTGGTTAGGCCCTGCAGGGAAAATGTATGTTGCAGGAAGGAGGGAGAGAGTGAGTGGAGGAAAGGAATGAACCGTCCTGTGCACCACTCCCAGTTACTTAATTATATAGTTAATTAAATGGCAGAGTTATGTTTGTATCCCAGCAAAAATTATCGAAATTGGATAATGTGGTTGGGTAATCGTAATAACTTTTGAAACAATGGTTGGTGATCTTCCTCTTGATCAGACTGGTTGACTTGTTCGGCATTGGAAACTGTATTGTAAACTTTGGCCAATTTGATTTAAAAGTGCTCTCGCAGCCCTGATATTCATATCTTTTAAGACTGAAAGTGGAGCTTTTAAATAAAGAAAATTGTCACCAGTAAGAAACTAGGGTGTTCAAAACAAAACCTCTGAAAACTGTTTGCTTCTGCCCTGTATAGATAGTATATAACTGCACATTTAACAGAGCTAAAAAGGTTGGAAATAATAGTCTGCCATATACAGTGGTTTAAAACATTAAGGCCTAACCTACTTTCTTTGTTTCCTCCTGTGACCTAGAATTAGTGATGTTGCTGGAATGGTGGTCTGGTACAGAATGCACTTTGTTCTCAGACCAGGCTACAGTCGATAAGTTTGGAAAAGAGCATGTCATCATCATCCTGAACCACAACTTTGAAATAGACTTTCTGTGTGGCTGGACCATGACAGAGCGATTTGGCGTCTTGGGGGTGAGTGTATCGAACTTGTAGCCTTGTATATCTTTTAATTTGAGGGGTATGGTCAGGTTTATTTTTCACCTTGGGAAAGGGAGGCAGCTGGGGTGGGTGTTTAAATGGTCACACCGGATAAATTTCCTTCCCACTAACAGCAAAATTAGATTCAGGTAGGTAGCCATGTTGGTCTGACGCAGTCGAAATGTATAAAAAAATTGTCCAGTAGCACCTTAGAGACCGACTAAGTTTGTTCTTGGTATACGCTTTCGTGTGCATGCACACTTCTTCAGATACACTGAAACAGAAGTCACCAGACCCTTATATATAGTGGGAGGGTAGGGTGGGGTTTTTCTCAGGAGGGTAGCAGGAGATGGGTGATTGACTCAATGGGTATGGTAAACCTGTCGATGACTGTTAATGACTGCAGGAAAAAGCAAGTGCTACAGGAAAAGCAAGGGATAGTGTGCAGATGATTAGCATATGTAATGAGACAGGAATCCAATCTAAAAGTAGAATTGAGCATTTCAGACTCAGACAGGTGAGACAAAGATTCACATTCCCAATTCAGCCCAATTGACCTTGGACCAATCTCTCTCCTCCTCCACTTTTACACACACAAACATACAAACACACACACAGAACCCACCCTACCACATATGGTTGTTGTGAGGATAAAATGGGGAGAAAGCCATGTTTTTTAGAGCTCCTTGGAGGTAGGATATACATGTAATAATAATGATGATGATGATGTGACTAGTAATTTCCAGGAAACAAAAAAACAACATCACCTTACTAGGCCGCTTCAGAACAGTTTTGGAAATGGCACTATTTGTAAATGATGTGTTGTAAACAAACAAATGGATAATATCTTGTGGTGTTCCTTTCAGAGTTCAAAAGTTCTTGCTAAGAAAGAGCTGTTGTACGTGCCCCTAATTGGCTGGACATGGTACTTCCTGGAGATTGTTTTCTGCAAAAGGAAATGGGAAGAAGACAGAGATAAAGTTGTCGAAGGTCTAAAACGATTGTCCGATTATCCAGAGTATATGTGGGTAAGTTAAGTTTTGCAAGGCCTGTCCTTGGCACTTTGAACAAGATGGTGAAAGGTGTGGTCTTCCTTCATGGTGGGTGTGGGTGTGGCCATATTAAGATTTTATATACAAATCTGTATGTGGATTCATGTCTAATAGTATATAGCCTTCAATGTCTCACCTCAGGTAGGTTCTTCAGCTGTCTTTGGTTTAAACCCTTCATGTGTGCAGCTTATTCAATGAATTCCAACTTGAAATTGGCAGGCATGTTTGTATGTGGTACAAAAGTATGGGCCGGATTCAACTAACTGGCCCAGTTAGCCTTCCATTCTCCTCCCTTGAACCCCCTAAATTGGCTTGGTGGGGAGCAGCAGTCAGGAAAATCCCCAAAATAGTACATGGGGGGGGGAGGGGGGAGATCATTCCATCAGGCAAGCAGCAATGCTTGAGCTGACAGAACAATCTCCTTAGTGCTATGTTGAATTTCTCCCATTTTTTTAGTATGAGGTACAGATTTTGCAGAAGTGACCCTGCAACATCATTGTATTTGGATATAGTATTAATATGCTGAATACTAACACGCAACGCACAAATGGTCTGATGTGCTCCAAATTTACATGTTGGGAATCTCCCCCTGAAAAAATACAGTTTTTAATATCTTTATTGGAAAACTAAGTGATGAAATGACCCTAAAGAGGATGCTTTGAGCATGTGAGGAAATCTGAGGTATGGGCATGTTCTCATTCTAAATGAGTTCTGGGTCAGGGTCTCCTATTTGAGCCTGAGGCCTTAAGACCTAGGAATAGGTGGAATTCAGACATCAGCAAAAGTGCTGAGCCCTCTGTTCAAGTCAGGATGGTGATGGGAGGCAAAACACTTCAACAGAATATGTCCAGCAAGCAAGTAGTCATGGGTGGCAGTCTAGTGCTGGTTAAAGCTCTCGGGAGAGGGGGATAAAGTGTTGCAGCAGGGAGGAGTGTGGCATTGAAAATGTCCCCATGAAAGATGTGGTGGTGCTCTGGTTCTGAGGTCCATGCTCTAACCATACTGGTAAGTCTCCTTGTGTACCTGTTGCCAGCTCTGGGACTGGCATGGTACTGAAGGTGAGAGAGATTTTAGAAGCTGAGGGGAGTTCTGGAGAGGAATGATTGGTAAAAGCAATAGTGCCTGAGGATTCTTCTCCCTTCAGTGGCAGCCTCCTGAAATGATTGAGGGAGAGGGTTTATCAGTGGCCACTAGGCACCATGGCTGTGTTCTGCCCCCATAGGTGGAGGCTGTATCCCTCTGACTACCCAGTTGCTTGGAACCGCAGGTAGGCAGAGTGCTGTTGTCCTTAGGCATATGGTTGGCTACTATGAGAACAGGCTGCTGGGCTTAGATGGGCCTTTGGCTTGACCCAACAGAGCTCTTCTTTTGTTTCTGGGTCCTTGGTGTCATGCAATCTTTCCACTGATGCAAAAGTTTATGAATCCAGATACTGGTCCCCAGCAAACTCTCCATATGGTTTCTTTATTTGAGAAGTAACACTTGGATGTTTCTTCCACCCCTCCCCTCTTGTTCTGTTCCATTAGTTTCTTTTGTACTGTGAAGGAACTCGTTTTACAGAGACCAAGCATCGTATCAGTATGGAAGTGGCGGAATCCAAAGGATTGCCTAAGCTCAAATATCACCTGTTGCCCAGAACCAAAGGTTTCACAACTGCCGTCCAGTGTCTCAGGGGAACAGGTATCTATTTCCTTGGCCTTCCTTGCAGTGTTTGTGGATGTGATTCTTGAGCGCATTCATTGCTGTTGGTCCCCAGATTATTATTGTTTTCTTCAGTGGAAAATCAGTATTGACTTTAATGTTGATGTTTTAGACCGCTGGATTTTATTTCGTAATTAGTTCTTAATACGTTAATTAGTTCCCCTTTGAATTCAGAGAAATTAATATTGCTACTTAGCACTTCACATTTCTAAAGTGGTGTGCAAACATTGACTAATTAACGCTCCCAGCGTGCATGTGAGGTGTAAGTTCGTGTTATGCCACACAGACAAGGCTGTTAAATAGGACAGATGGCTGGCCAAATACAATTGTGGGTTACAAGTTTTGCTTTGTCTTTCCAGACAACAGCATCAAAACTGTTCTGCAGAATCTGGGGAGGTTAAAAAAGGTAAAGGTACCCCTGCCCGTACGGGCCAGTCTTGACAGACTCTAGGGTTGTGCGCCCATCTCACTCAAGAGGCCGGGGGCCAGCGCTGTCCGGAGACACTTCCGGGTCACGTGGCCAGCGTGACATCGCTGCTCTGGCGAGCCAGAGCCGCACACGGAAACGCCGTTTACCTTCCCGCTAGTAAGCGGTCCCTATTTATCTACTTGCACCCGGGAGTGCTTTCGAACTGCTAGGTTGGCAGGCGCTGGGATCGAACAACGGGAGCGCACCCTGCCGTGGGGATTCGAACCACTGACCTTTCGATCGGCAAGCCCTAGGCGCTGAGGCTTTTACCCACAGCGCCACCCTCTGGGGAGGTTAGGAAGACATAAAAAGTCACAATGTCCCCTTCCCTACTTACTGGTGGAAGGTTTATCACATTTATGCCATTCCTCATCCACATTCCTCTCCCTTCCCAATCTACCCAGGTGTTCTAAAAGTGTGACAGTGTTTTTTAAAGACTGTTGATAAAAGATTATGGCACTTCCCTTTGCAAATTGAAATTATCCCCCATCTCCACTCAGCACAACCCAGAGAAGTATAAATGTGATTTAAATCCTGAGGAAATAAAAGAGTGTCTAGCTTCCACTTAAGTGCTTAAATACTATGGATTCAGGAGCACGTATTTACATGTACTTTCCTCTGGATTGTGTTTAATCCATAAGAGCCACTCGAATCTAGGAAAGACAACAGAGTTGAATCTGGATGAAGAACTGCCTTGAGCAAAACACTGGCTTGGATTAATTTCCCTTTTCTGCTAGATGGGAAATATTTTAACACACATTTCAGCATGCTTGTGAGATTCTGAGAGGTGAAGATACCTAATATTAATGTTAATTTTTTCTTTCTATATGTGAAGTAATTTCCCTTGTGTTTCTGTGAGTCACATATAGATACCCGTCTTCATGTATGTATAATCTCAGGGTTCTTCACTTCTGTTGGCTGCAACATGACTAAGATTCACACCCATTAGCTTAACACTAAAGCTGAGTTCAGATTTAATCACCAAACCACAACTTAGTGTTACATAAAGGAGGCTCTGACTCATGAGCTCCCTCGTCTATTTTTCTTCCCTGTATGCTCAAGCAATCTGGTTCTCTCCATTATTTTGGTTTTTGCAGCAAACCATAGTTTGCTGTTGTGTTTTATACAAACAGGGTAACTTGCTTCAGATGTCATGTTAAACCACTGTTTAGCATTAAATGCATGAACCTGCTCCCTGTCCCCTCCTCTGGCTTAACTACAAGGAAGAGATCAAAAGCGTTCACTAACCATTGCGCCGAAGAATTGATGCTTTTGAATTATGGTGCTGGAGGAGACTCTTGAGAGTCCCATGGACTGCAAGAAGATCAAATGCATCCATTCTTAAGGAAATTAGCCCTGAGTGCTCACTGGAAGGGCAGATCGTGAAGCTGAGGCTCCAATACTTTGGCCACCTCATGAGAAGAGAAGACTCCCTGGAAAAGACCCTGATGTTGGGAAAGATTGAGGGCACAAGGAGAAGGGGACAACAGAGGATGAGATGGTTGGACAGTGTTCTCGAAGCTACAAACATGAGTCTGACCAAACTGCGGGAGGCAGTGGAAGACAGGAGTGCCTGGCGTGCTCTGGTCCATGGGGTCACGAAGAGTCGGACACGACTAAACAACAACAACCATTGCGTTTAGCTTTATCATGTTCCCCTCCACACACACACACCACAGAAAGCGAGTATCAGAAACCGCAGTTTGATCTTAGCTTGTTTGATAAACCATGATTTGAGCTAACTACCATTTGTCGCAATTCAGATGAAACAAACACTGCTTCTGAACTTCTCTTCACTCATGTGCCAAAGGAGGAGAGGGGCATGGGGAGTGCATGAACCAGAGACATGTTCAGTAGCAGTAAAACAGCGGGACACTTTGGGAATTTTGAGAAAGCAGTAAGATGCTTATTCAAGTCCTACTCAATGCAATGAATGTGGCTGGTCCCAACCCATTTAAATGCTGTTGGAATTGCAGCACAGTTTTGTGTTGACGTTGTCCGGCCAGTGGAGCATTGTACTTGGGAAAATGATGTGCTTCCAGTCTCAGGAGCCTCACCTCATTATTTGGAACTCTGTTTGTATGCCTTGTTATAACAATTAAATAAGTTGGATTCTAGAGGCTAAAATAATGGTGACCTATTCTCATTTTCCACAGTTTCAGCTGTGTACGATGTAACGTTAAACTTCAGAGGAAACAAGAACCCCTCCTTATTAGGAATCCTTTATGGGAAGAAATACAAAGCTGATATGTGTGTCAGGTGAGCATGGCATGTATTTGAGAACATGGCACGTATTTCAGAATTGTCACAGTGTCCAAATATGTTGGTAAGTCTGCCTCCTTTTTCCCATGTTCTTTTACCGCATGGATTTGGGATACTTCAGCTGTTCAGGCTTAGTATGGAAGAGCCTCTTTCCCCCCATTAATATTAGAAGACGAAGGCTGTTGCATGCATCCAGCACGACTACGAATTCTGTAAAAGTAATGCTTGGCTCTGCCTGCCATTTCAGCATCTTCCATATTTGGTTTGACAAACCCATGTGGTCGTGGGAAAGTACATTATGTAAAGCTCCATAAATTCCTACTGCCCTCTCTTAAAGATTGGTGAACTGCATAGTACAGTCATTCGTGTCTTTTAGATAGCTGAGTCCAGTCTGGCTTGAAGTTCTGAGATCCAGTTGCCTATGCTTTTTCGCCTAGGCCTGCTGTTCAGCCATATGAATGGATGGCCCATCTCCTCTGTTTTTGTTTTGTTCAGTAAAAGACTTGCCAGGAATGCTTTCTGACTGGATCCGCTTCAGGCGTATCTGAAGCAAGTCATTTCTACCCTTGTGAATGGTGATGAAGGAGGCTTTGTCATCTCTTTGGTGCCCCACAGATATACATGTCATCAGGCTTGCCACAGTCTTTGCTTTTTATGGCCCTAGGAAAAGAAGAATTATCTAGTTCAGGGCTGTCAAACAGAAAGCCCTGAAGGATTATGGGGCTTTTGGGGATCTCCAAAGTGGTCCACAGCTCACCTTTCACAAAAATTACTGAACCATCTCCAGACATTGCCCCTTGTACAGCTCATGGAATGACATGGCAGTGGCTGCCATTACTTGCCTCTCCCACCATAATTTTTTTTTTTAAAAGCAAGCATTTTAACTCACACCGGTGCTGTGTTCTGAAAGACATGTGCTTTTGGGTGAGGGGTTATAGTTCAATGGGAGAGCGCATGATTTTTTAGATTTGTAGAGTTAGAAGAGGGGAAGTGGATGGCGCTGTGGTCTAAACCACTGAGCCTCTTGGGCTTGCCGATCGGAAGGTTGGTGGTTCAAATCCCCGCGTCTGGGTGAGCTCCCGTTGCTCTGTCCCAGCTCCTGCCAACCTCACAGTTCAAAAGCACGCCAAAAAAAGTGCAAGTAGATTAATAGGTACTGCTCCATTGGGAAGGTAAATGGCATTTCCGTGCACTGCTCTGGTTTGGCCATAAGTGGCTTAGTCATGCTGGCCACATGACCCGGAAAAACTGTCTGCGGACAAACGTTGGCTCCCTCGGCCAGTAAAGCGAGATGAGCGCCGCAACCCCAGGGTCATTCGCAACTGGACTTAACTGTCAGGGGTCCTTTACCTTTACCTTTTTTAGAGTTGGAAGGGACTCCGGGGATCATCTAGTCCAATCCCCTGTGGTGCAAGAATCTCAATCAGACAGATGACTGTCTACTTAAAACCCTCCAAGGAAGGAGAGTCCACCACCTCTTGTGGGAGTCTGTTCCACTTGCACCCAAAGGTTCCCTGGTTAGATCCTGCTCCAGAGTAGGTGCTCAGAAAGACCCTTGGATGCTGCCAGTCATAGCCGACAACACTCAGCTCAACAGACAAGTTGTGTCTTATGTTCCCAGCTTCCTCAAGCCAACAAACTAAAACGGCATTATTTGTTATACAGCTATAACAGGGACAGCCAAGTTCCAAAGAGTCACAGTCTGTGTGGTTCCTCAACAGAATCTCTATTGTCATTTTAACCTTTGTCACTACTTAGAGTAGAAGGACAACGGGAATTTCTTCACAAACTTCTTCAAGTTCCTGTGGTTATCTGACCCAAGCTTTGGTCACCATTGGCCTGTAGCCTTCATTTGGGTGAAAGAAAGAGAATCATGCCACTATTTTTTTAAAAAATATATAGCACTTCTCAATAAACTCACCCATCCATTTTTGTACAAAGCAAGAAGTGTTCCACTGTGCAACCTTTGTATTCTGGCTGTGGGCACCCCCTAGTGGCAAATTCATGGTCCGAATGTGACAATACAGGGTTTTCACTTTAACTTGTGTTCATCTAGAGCAGAACACTCAGTATAAGTAGCATAGAAGTTGTAATTGTGATGCTCATTCTTTATTAAATGCTCTTTATTGAACCTTTTTTTAAAAAACAAACAAACCAGGAGGTTTCCACTAGAAGATATCCCTTTGGACGAAAAGGAAGCAGCAAAGTGGCTCCATAAACTTTACCAAGAAAAGGTAAATCATTTGTCCTGCCTTTAAGATCTTATGGAATAATATGCTAAGTGAATGAATTCTCAAAGGAGACAGCATTGCTATATCTGTAAGGGAGCAACTAGATGTAATATGGAAGATCCTTCGTGGAAGATCTCCTATGATTCTTTTAACATAAACATGTTTTCTACCATGGGGAAAGTGCTTTGACATTTGTCCACATTCGTATCTCAAGATAAGGTGTGCAAAGCTGAATGTATATACTCTCTGTTAGACCATGGTGATGCGATATGTTGCTTCCTCCACAAATGGGGCCCCAATCCTGTCTTTTCTATATCATGTGAATTTTACTGAGCAATGGGGTTTCACAGTAGCAAAAAAATGGGGGGAATGGATATACTAACACTGAACAAAACATCAGGAATCTGATTTGTTCTAAAGATGATACTTCATTGTATGAGAGAGAATACTAATTCAAGAGAAAACTGTAACTTCTGCTAAGAAAGGTTCCATTGGGTTGGGTGGCCTGTTTTCCTTCATTTTTCACATTCATCCCTAAGGCAGCATAGAAATAAAAATCCCACTGAAATCAATGGGGCTGATTTCTTAAGTGTTTTAGAATCTGCCCAAGTCGGATCCTCACCCCCACCAGATAAAGGGTTTGAGGGTTCTGTGCTAATCTGATCTGCAAGCTATGGTTCACCAGCAGCGCTGTGCATTCTTATTTGCTTCTTTACGCTGCCCTTGTCAGTGGAAATGGAAATAGTTGGAGACTAATTACCACGTATTGTATATAGCAGTTAAATCAGTGGGAAAAATAAAAGGTAACCTGATACAGTTACAGCTCACTTGATGCAGCTCCCCTTAGGGCAGGGGTCTGGAACCCGCGGCTCCGGAGCCGCATGTGGCTCTTTTACACCTTTGCCGCGGCTCCGGGGCGGATACTAGCGAGGGGAGGAGGCGCATTGTGCGCCCCGACACTCCCCACTGTGGCGGGCGTTGTACTAGCTGTGACGTCGCATGGGGGCGGTGCGTGCGTTAGTCATGCACCGTCCCGACATCACCTTCCTGCCCGCCTGCCCGCTACATTGTAAGGGGCATGTACGCTGGTCACTGTTTTGAAGGGGAGTGAAGAACACACACACACAAAAAGGTAACTTGTTAATTTAACGTTTATTTCTATGAGGAGGAGTAATTCTGAGGGGTCAAACAAAGAAAAGTGACAAAAAAGTTGTTTTTATAATGACGAGTTTTGCGGCTCCCAGTTTTTTTTCTTCGGAAACGGGTCCAAGTGGCTCTTTTTGTCTTAAAGGTTGCAGACCCCTGCCTTAGGGGAATAATAAGCTTGAAACTGAAGATGGTTTTACACGGTAACAGCAACTTTTATGTAAGGGCTTGGTGCTGTAAGCCCATGAGCCTGGGGCTTGTATGGGCTCATGCAGTTCTAAAACCAAGGTTTTGGGTTACATGCAAATGCAGCCTAAGTTTACTACCTTCTAACTTTCTGCAATTGATTGTGTGAATGGGGCCCTGAATTCTTGGGGCTGCCTGAGAATAACTTGGATTCATCCATTGCCACATACTTCTAAGGACAAGTTGTGTTTTGTTTAAGCAGTAGCCATAACACTTGATGGGACTAACAGTAGTTTCAGGTTAACACTTCGTGACTAGGTTACATGAATAATGTAAAGTGTGACATTGACACACCTTTCAGCTTCCTGGGAGACTGTATTTTATTTATATTTTGTTTTCTTACCATATCCTGCCATTTAACCATCAGGGAACACCATCTCCTATCCAGACAGTGATGGCATTCAGAAGAAGGCACAATGAATATAGAAAGGATTTGGTTGGCAATAGAGTAGCAGAGCCTAGTTTCACTAAAAAGGTGTTTTTGCTTTTTAAGTAATCATGATGGAACAGAAAATGCAGATTGCTCCTGCAGCAACGAGTACTGGGTCACAGAGACCTGCCACTCTGACCATATTAAAATGTACAGGCATTGAATGATATGAATGCACCCCTGTGTGTCCCCAAATTAGAAAGGTTTTTCTTTCTCTCTTCAAGGATGCTTTACAAGAGAAGTATAATCAAGAGGGTACATTTCCTGGAGAGCAAATCAAACCTCGCAGAAGACCATGGACTCTCCTCAATTTTCTGTTCTGGGCCACCATTGTCCTGTCTCCTCTTTTCAAATTTGGTTTTGGCATTTTTGCAAGCGGATCTCCTCTCCTGATTCTTTCATTCATGGGCTTTGTTGGAGCAGGTAATAAACGCTGAGCTGAATGTGTACATCTGTATCCTGTGATACAGCCAGGCCCCACAGTCATTTTCTCAGCTTGTTAGCTGACTTGCAGTGAGGTGGGGAAGGAAGATTGTGTTAAGAGAAATTAGAACTGCATTTATCTATCTATCTATCTATCTATCTATCTATCTATCTATCTATCTATCTATCTGTACTGGAAGACAGTGGTTGTTAGACCTAATAATTAGCACTTTGAGAAGTGTACTCAGAATCTTGTCCAGTCGTACCTTGGTTCTCGAACAGAATGTGTTCCAGGAGTCTGTTCAACTGCCAGAAACATTCAAACACCAAAGCCTGGCTTCTGATTGGCTGCAGGAGCATCCTGCAGCCAATCAGAAGTCGTGGAAGCAGCTCCGGATGTTCGGCTTCTGAAAATTGTTAGAAAACCGGAACACTCACTTCTAGGTTTCGATCATCTGAGAGCCGATTTGTTCGGGAACCAATGCGTTTGATTATCTTTCCCAATCAAGAGCTCAGGATAGGTTGCCAGATACACTTCATTTTCTTTTTACAGTAGCCCCATGATAAGTTTAGGCTGAGCAACAGTTACTTCCCTAAGACCATCCAGACAAACCTAATACATTAGCCCTTGCATCACATAGACACCTATATATAGTTTTCTCCTTGTACTAAAGCCTGTGCTGTTTTAGGCTGCAATTCTGTTGTTGTTGTCGTTGTTGTTGTTGTATTTCTATATCACCCTTCCTCTGAGGATCACTGGGCAGTTTACAGTATAAAAACAAAAAAAGTGTATAACATAGTAATAAACAAAAACAATGCTACACACACAGTTTGAATGGATTGTTAAATATATTTTTTAAATTAGTTTAATTGTTGTACCTGCTCTTGCCTTTTACTCCTTTGAGTCCTCATCAGATGCTTAATCTCTGCACTGGTGTTCTGTGCAGATGTAGCATTTAATCATACAAAATTCAGGGTCCTAAGGGGCTCATCTCTCATTCCAGTCCAGGGCCTGTGGGGCCTGCAGCCTTCAGATGTTGTTGCACTCCTGTGCCCATCAGTCCCAGCCATCATGGCCAATGGGAACAATGGGAATTGTAGTCCAACAACTTCTGGTAAGCCACGGGTAGGAATGGGTACCAATTTTGGTTTCTCTCTGTCTCTCATCTTTCCAACCTTAAAGTTAAGTTCTCCACATTTTCACATCTGTTTGCGATTAAAAAAAATAAAATCTGCAAATGGAGTGCAGTTTTCTCCTAATATACATATCATACTATGCAATTTTGCCAATACATGCATTTTATTTTCCTTAGTATTTTAATATCCCATAATATCGTACATTTATGTAGTTTTCACAAAGATATGTATTCATATGCACAGTTAACCTTTGCGTGTGCATTTTTGTTCACATTACTTGGCTAGAAAACGGCACTGGAAATTTAGAAAGATGTCTGACATTCAGTTTGTATATTATTTTGGTTATTGCAAATTAATTTGATTCACCTTTAAATACAAACTGAATAAAATTTCTTCCCTATCCCTGGCCGTAGTTTCCCTGTCCCTTTTTGGTTCCTATTGGCTGTTTATAGATAACTTTAAAACAAGTGAAAACTCAGAAGTGGAGTTTATGGGATTGGGTATGGTAGTGCGGAGTGGGATTTCTAGTAGCTGGGGCTTTCGCATGCTGAGTTGGACCTTCCTCTTTCTAACAGCGAGGAATTGGGGGTTGGGGGTTGGTGTAGAATGAATCAGCACAACACACACATATATATACCCATACCCATACACACACACAGCCCAATGTGCATGGGTGTACACACACATTATGCATATGCGCACATTTTGCTACCTTCTCTATATTTACTTTTCAGTATATAACAGATCATTAATTGACAAGGAGTGGCGTAACTCAGTCATCTCTCTTTCCTTTCTGTTTTAAAGCTTCATTTGGAGTTCGCAGACTGATCGGCGTAACAGAAATAGAAAAAGGCTCCAGCTACGGCAACCAAGAATTCAAGAAAAAGGAATAACTTCACAGATACAGTTCCAAACATATAACAAGACTATGGTATCAAATTAACTTCATTGAAAGAAAGACACTTAGAAAACTTATCTTTTTTTTCTTATTAACTGATAACTACTAATACTTGAGCCAAGACTAAAGAAATTGGAAGATTCAAGAGGAAGAGGAAACAGTTGACTACTTACCTGCCCAAGGATCCCTGTGTTCATAAGTTTGGGGAGAAAAAAATATCTGGGCTAATATTTTGTTTTATTTTTGGCTTTCTTGTGGGTGGGAGGGGGAACTAATGGGTGTAGCTACATGCATCTTCAGATAAACTGGTTTGTCTTTCAAGAGTACAACACTTGCTCGCAAGAGGAGCTACTGAATGTTTCTTCTTGCTAAAACTAATATTTTCTTATTCATGGCATCTTTTTTTAAAAAAACAAACAAGCAAGGCAGCATGAATTGCAGCAAAACACAATCTCCAGTTGACTAACAGCTGCTCCTCGAGGAGGAAGCAGTTTGGAAAAGCTACTTCATCCTCGCAGATGTTTTATTTGCAGATGTTTTATTTTTAGGTTAATATTTATTCATTTCTGTACACCCGTGGCGTTCCAATGGCAGCAGTACCTGACTGATAAGCACATACTTTGAACAAGGCACTAGAATTAATGCGGTTCCAGGCTTCCCTACTCGACAAACACATTCCTTACCCCTCATGCACTCCCAGCTGAAACAAGAATGTGCTTAGCTCAGTTTCCTACATAGATTTGCTATTTCTTTCTTTAAAAAAACAAAACAAAAAGCTTATATGATGACCCTGAAATTGTTACCAGTATGACTATGGCTGCTCAGTCATTTCATCTTGGCAGTTCTACCCCCACGGCAAAAAAAAGAAAGTCTGTTCTCAGAATCTCCTGTATGGCTTGTGGTGAAAAACAGCATAAAACAACAGATGAACCTGGAACGAAATTGTATTCAAAAAGCTACTAATTGTAGTAGATAACACAGGGCTGGTACTGTACCTCTGCAGCCTTCAGCACACTTACTTGGAAGGAAACACTACTGATTTCAGGTCAAAATTTCTTCCAGGCAAATGTGTTTAGGGCTGGAATGTCAGTTTGCCTACATTATCACGGGATATTGCCAGGTCATCCAGCAATCAATGAAGCTTTTTTAAAAGGTTCAGACTTATTGAGGATTTTTTGCTGCACATTAAGAGCTACCGGTTTGGTTTCAACAATTAGAAAGGTTTGTGATGTGGTGGCTGCCCTCAGTCACAATGCATTGAGGTTGCTTCCCTGTGGAAAGCTATTTGTTTGCTTGACACAGCCTTCAAGCCAACCATGTTTTGACTGGCACAGCATCTCTAGGTTTACTCCATATAACGAATGTTGTAGGTGAATGACTAGTCACAAAGTCTCCCTTCAGATACTGTTTTGTGTGCAGCTGCCTTTAATAGGGCTTTGCAAATTGATTTCTGCATCACAGAAATATTTGAAAGTATATGGCAGTGGCATATATCATCTTCCAGTGCTGGGACCAAATTTTGCAATCAGATCCGCACCCAAAAAACAAACAAACAAAAACAATAGGAATTAAGCTTTATAAATGGGATTCAAAGCAGAATTGGGCCCCTACTGCTCCTTATGATGTGATAGTAACACACACATCCTCTCGTAGCCAGGGGTAAATGTGTGACATCTTACTTTCCAAATGTTAGCATTTTTTAATTATTCTTATTCCTCACTTGCAGGAGCTCGTTTTGAGAATACTTTTATGTGCGACTTGCCACTCTGAAGTTTGGAAAGATTCTTTGCGGAAACGGCTTATCTTAGCTTTCTCATGCTGATGAATGTTTTCTTAGGGATTTCTACATGAAATGTTTTTGGAATTGTCCTATGGAGCCATGATCAAAACAACCAATATCCAAACATGTAGAAAATGGCATGCAAGAGAATGGTCCATGCAGCTAGAACACTGCGCTACCAGTTCCTTTTTCTGCAGAGACAAGCCATTTTTCAAATAAAGCGGTTGCTTGCCTCTTCAGTGAGGGAACTACTATTGCAGAAAAAGGTCTTCATTGTCTTCTTAAGTCACAGCCCACAGTATCCATGAATTTTGCTTTCCCCCAGCATAACATTGTACTGTCAGTCCCGGAATAGGTAAGCTACGCTTCCTGAAAGGGGATAAAATCTACCCTGACTGTAAGGGCAGACAACTTATTAACTTCATTGGAAGTTGAACCTGTGCTTCTTGGAAAGAATCCAGCCATGACTATTTTTTACTTAGTAAATATATTCTGCTTTTTGTTTTGTTTTTAAAGAGTTAGACAGCTAAGCAGAGAGCTTTCCTCTCTGTTATCTAACCAGAGGACTGAACAGACAGGATTGTGTTTTTTAAAAGTACTTGGTAAATAACACTTCCTTGTTGGAAAGGTTTTTTTCTTTCCTCCGTTTAACAGATGCTGTATAATTGCTTTCTGAAGAAGATGTTGAATATATTTTAAATGCACTAAATAACAAAAACAAAGTGGGAAAGTCCCCTGGCTGTGCATTTCTATTACTTGTGAGCAAGGAGTTCTGTATTGATAGATAAGGCCAGACACTGTAACAGAATTAAGTGGGGGGCTGGCGGGGGTCGTGCAGGAAGAAATGTTGCAAGGAAGCAAAGAGTGTACAGATCTGTTAAAATAGGTGTCCAGCCTCCATTTAGCGCAAATGGCTCCTGCTAAAAGGTATTGGGAGTACTGCATGTACATTATGGAGAGAAAAAGCAGATGTTTTCCTTCTGTTTTGTTTTCATATCATGACATTTTGATCATATTTTGTTTTTGAAGACATAGCAAAGTATACATTAATTTGTTTGCAGTTTTAGAAAGACATATCCGTTTTGAAAACTGAAGTGTACAACATGGCACAATCTAGTACATGGCAGCTCATCTTTTTGGCTTGAAATTTTGGTTTGTCTCTTCAAATAGTTTTTTATATAAATATGCAGAGTACGTGTGAGAGAGTATTACTGGAAACAGCAGTAAGTGTGTCTCATGAAGAATATCAAGCGGTTTGGGTTGGAACAGTGAGCATAGATTTTATACCTTACACTATTTTCTTCTGGTTTAATAGAACATAGCTTGTATATTTGACTACCAAGCCCTTTGAGAGCAATAATAAACAAAATATATCATGAACTTTTTCTTTTTCTTTTTCTTTTGGTCTTTCTTCATTATTCAATTTTAATCATTATTAGAATGTGGCAGCCGTTTCCCCTTTCCTTCCATTGTCAGCACTCCATTTGTGTTTTGATGTCTTGGATTAAAATGTAACTTTTAAATGCATAGGCTGGCATCCAAAGACATGCTTGAGATACATTCAAGAGCTTGAGCATCCCCCGTGAGGTTGGTTTGTTTTTCATTTTCCGCAGCCGACACAATGCCATATTGCGCCTCTTCCTTTAACTTTGACACCTGAGATGTGTGCTTTCAGTACCCACCCTGGGACCTGCTGGCAAAGGGCAGGTAATAAATATTATTATTATTATTATTATTATTATTATTATTATTATTACTATGAAGAATAAGAAGCCAGAGGGAGTCTTGCAACACAGCATCGAGGGAAAGGGGTTCCTGCTCATCAAGAAACACATTTAACCTTATTCTTCCACCAGGGACCATACCAAACTACCCACACAGTTGTTTGGATCTGTGCCGTTTGCTGCAAGCCATTCTGCCATTAGGTGCTCCAAAATTGTGTTGGTTTTAATGGGCCTTAGCTATAAGTTGCATTGGCTCCAGGCTAAGTTAGTTCCCCTTGAAATCCATGGGACTGGAGTAATTAGCTTGTCTGATTTAATTGTATCTTGCCTGAAATTGCTCTGGAAGAAGAGCAGTAGCTCAGAACGTGTAGGGCGCATTACGTTTCTTGCCAACTCCTGTTTTGTTTTCAACGACAGAACATCGGCATTTGCTCCATTTTCATGATACTTCCAATTTACATAGATGCCAGCCTGCAGCCAGTGGGATTTTGTGGCAGATCAGGACTGCTTCCTGGTCTGGTGTTGGCATTCAGTCCAATCTGCTTCCTAGCTGCTATTAGCTCCCAAGCTAAGAGGTAAAATTGCCCCACCAAAAAATGTACTGAGCAGCAAGAATACAACATTTTGGATTTGATCTTGCCAAATAGTTTTCTGGTAGCTCACACGGTGGTGGCCGAAAGGCATGGTTTGTTCCATCACTGTGTGTGCTTTATCGTGCCCTTTTGTTGGTCTTCCTCTGATTTGTGTCCTGTTTCCATTCCTCATGCTGCTGCTCCTGTAGTCTCTTCAGCCTCTGGTTTCCTCTTCTTTCCCCTTCCATTTTGCTCTCTTTCTCTTGTCTGAAGCTTTAAAGCTTTTGCTTCTTAAACATAAAGCTTCCCATACTCTTCTTCCACCCTCTCTTCTTTGCTTCTCACCACCCCCTTATTCATTTATTGTTGCCAGTCTTCCTAAATCTAGAATCGCTTCCTTTTCTCCTTTCCGTTTGTTTTAATTATTTCGTTTTTATCCCACTCTTCACTGAAGGAGCTCAAGGCAACAAACACTGCTTCTCCCCAGTGCAGAGATTTAAGCTGAGAGTAACTGGCTCAAGGTCACCTAAGCCACATCCACACCATATGTTTAAAGCATGACTATACCACTGGGTGGCGCTGTGGGTTAAACCACAGGGCCTAGGACTTGCTGATCAGAAGGTCGGCAGTTCGAATCCCCCGACGGGGTGAGCTCCCGTTGCTCAGTCCCAGCTCCTGCCAACCTAGCAGTTCGAAAGCACGTCAGAATGCAAGTAGATAAATAGGTACCACTCTGGCGGGAAGGTAAACGGCGTTTCTGTGCTCTGCTCTGGTTCACCAGAAGTGGCTTAGTCATGCTGGCCGCATGATCCGGAAGCTGTACGCCTGCTCCCTTGGCCAATAAAGCGAGATGAGCACTGCAACCCCAGAGTCGGTCATGACTGGACCTAATGGTCAGAGGTCCCTTTACCTTTTTTATACCACTTTTAACAGCCGTGACTTCCTGCAAAGAATCCCAGGAACTGTAGTTTAAGGGTGCTGAGTTGTCAGCGGATCTCTATTCCCCTTGCAGAGCTACAATTCACAGAGTTCCCTGGACAGATTGTTAAACCACTCTGGGAGGAGAATAAGGGTCTCCTACAACTCTTGTCACCCTTAACAAACTTCAGTTCCCAGAATGCTTTGGGGAAAGCTATGACTATTAAAGTGGTATAATAGTGCTTTGACTGTATTGTGTGGGTGTGACCCTAATGAGCTTCATGGAGACATAGGAATTAGAACCCAGTTTTCTCTAGTCCTAGGCCAAGACTCTAGCCTTACTACACTTTGACTCCCCGGGCTCTTTACACTGGCTGCAGCCAAATTCTAGAAATGAACCCTGAGGTTCTTTCTCATCCTTTAAAACATATCTAAATCTTCCCGTAGCCTTTCAACTCTTCCTTCCCCTATTTCCCTTTCCTTTTGTCATAGAGTTTTAGAAACCAGCTTGCAAGTAGGGGTGTATCTGGTAGCAAAGCGACAACTGACACGTTACAACTTTCTCATTCTCTTATTGACCTTTTATTTATTTTGATGGTACTAAGAACAAACCGGTACATTTTTAAACAAATCGTTTAAATAAGCAATTAGTGCTGTACTGCGCAATTAGGACTGCAGTCCTAGATCCACTTCCTTGGGAGTAAGCCCCTTTGAACTCAATGGTACACCCACAAAGGTTGCTCTGTGGGAAAGAATCACACCTGTCTTCTCTCATACCCAGGATGTGCTGTTCTGACTAGCTCCTCTCTTGCACTGTGTTCTGTAAGGTAGGCAAAGGATAGAACGTGATTGCAAGACACCTGTAGGTAAAGAAGGGGAATGGTGTAGGAAGAAGCAATGTCCAAAGCCTTGGAGAACACCTACAACCCCCATCAGCCACAGCCAGCATGGGCAATAGTTGGGGTTGATGGGAGTTGTAGTCTAGCTACACTTGCAGAGCCACAGAGCCAATGTCAATTTGATACGGTAAGAACTAATGATTCACCTTCACCCCATTACTTAACAACTAGAAAGCTGGGTGTCCCATTGTCCAGCACCTTACAACAGTGCTTGGGCTGACTTCAGTCTTGAGAGATCTGCTTACTAGGATTCCCGTGACCTCCTAATAATGCGTTACAGCAAGAGGACATGCCATTATTTGAAACAGACGAGCCACAAGTAATCTGCAATCCCGAGTGTGCACTCTTTCTTCAGAATATAAGAAGTGCCTTGCTGGATCAAACCTAGCTTACCCTAGGTTTTGAGAATCCCAGCAGATATTAGAGAAATTGGGCATGGTCTCCAAGTTTCCAGGACAAAGTGCTCTCTCTCTCTTTTACTGCAGTACTTGCTGACACAAAGAGGAAACATTTTCCACATCGTGTTTTGAAGCATAAGCCTTATGTTGGTATAAGATCTTTTCAATAATGTTTGTTGTGCAATTTTCAGCAGCTGCCAAAACTACATTATCAATGTTTTTATTTTAAATTTGTATTCGTCAAATGACAACCGTGCTTTAAATTCCAAAGAATGTAATTTCAATAAATCACGTTTGTTCAAGATCTGCAATTCTCACTGGAAATAACTAATGAGAACAGAAAGCTGCAGCAGTTCCCATTATGTTATTGTTTGATCGCATTCGCTGGATTTTTACTTTCCTTTGTTCCCTTTGTAACCCCACCCTTGTTAAAGGAAGCTCTCATAAGTAATGGGGGGCAAGCAGGAAAAAAATATGCACCTCATACTCCTTAGCATTTTTACAGTGCAATCCTAGGCATGTCTACTCAGAAGTAAGACCCATTGAGTTCAGTGGGACTTACTGCATGGTAAGTGTGCATAGGATTGCCGCCTTGGAATACACTCTGTAATCCTTACGACTTCCTTGTAAAATTGGATCAATTTTATCATCATGTCTATATCGTACATCCAAGGGGCTGGAGCTGGAACATGCTGATGAGATGAAGGCCATTTGGTGAGTTCATAGCAGAGGCCAAGATTAGATACGGTAATTTCTGTTTCATAGCTCAGCCTCTTTACCACTATTTTACACTAAGCAAACAAGAATATATGAGGGTAAGTATTAGGGATTTGCAACTGCTCCATATCAGGGCTGATTTTACCATTCCCTGGGACAAACTGATGTCAACACAGCACCATGAGTCCAATCAAGACTCCACAAAGCTCTTTGTTGCGCTGCCACTCTGTTTTTCTGTAATCTGTTCTATACAGTATATATCTATGTTTTCCATGTCTCTCACTTTACTCCAGGCCTGTGGGCTTGGCAAGAAGTGAGGCTTTCTCAGTTCTGCCTACAGAGCACTAGAGGAGCTCTGGATTATTGTGGTTGGAGCAGAGCAGTAGAGGGTTTTTTTTTAAGTTTAAAGCTTCATTTAACAACATAAAAAATAAAAATAATAATTTGCCTGCTTGAAAACAAAAATTGTCCTGCCTGCTTGACAACAAAAATCCTCTATAGCTCTGCATTGCAAGTTGGATGTCATACTCTCCCAACACAAACAAGCACTGGGAAAGCTAAACTGACCAGTGCAAAGCTGTGAGTGTGTTTTCTTTTAAGTACAAGCAAGAATACACAACACTTGCCCACATATCATTTTAAAATAGGAAAAAGAACCCCACTCTTGAAAGTATGAAATTAAAATGGATTGTTGAAGGTGGCCTATAAGGATATTGCTGTCCCTTTTATTTGCAAGACCCTTTTATCATTCCCTTGAACCTGCAATTTAGTAGGCTTAATCCACTTGATGCCTGCAAATTTGATAATCTTTTGCAAAAAGGGGGGGATGGGGAGTTAAAACTGTTCTTGAGTTACCCATAAGAGAGATTGGGGAACGCAGAGCTTTATTTTATATAGTGCACCTGGGAACCCGAATTGCATCTCAAAGCACACAGAAACTTGCAAACATTTTAAAAAACCTGCATGGAGACAAGATCCATCTTCAACCCCATGAACACCCCCAGAAAACAATTTACATTCGTCATCTAGTTGTCTTCGTAGATGCACTCATGCTCACTTTCCTTTGCAATGATAAGGTTCATTGTCTTCTTCACAAATGTCAGCCATCTCTTCCAGATTTAATGGTCTCAGAGAAGACATTATTTCTAATCGCA